TAAAGTTTGTCACAGAAATGAGCGCGATGGAAACTGGTTTTCAGGTTTACGTTAAACTCAGCTTGTTGCATCATTCTGGTTCTGGTGCGTCTGCCGCCCAGAACCTGTTTGGACCTCAGGGAATCCGTCAGAACCGCTTAGCAGTCTGATCGATGCCTATCTGTGTTACCCTGAAAGCTAAACATCCTCTTCCCGACGGCTTCCTTCCTGCGGCCCCTCTGGGATTCAGACGCAGACTTTATCGTGGGAATAATTTGTCTCCTCTCCAAGCTTTTAATGAACTCTCATCATTTAGCAAGAAATAGATTCATCAGCCGACTCTAAAACAAAATAAATAATTTGCAAACGATTGTTTCCCTGCAGAAAACCTTTTCTGAGGCTGAACGCGGCTGAGCGGAGCCAGCGGTGGAGGTGGGCTGTGGGTTTCTGTGTATGTCATGGGAAGAAACAGCTGGCAGGAATTAAAGGCCCCACTGACACACAACGGCCCAGATCGAGATGAAAATGTTTCTGTGGAGGAGCGTCTCTAAAAATACTGGGAGGCCTGTAATTAGTGGTGTGTGTGCAGAGCAGCTGCTGCGGTCCACAGCAATAAGTGTCTCTAATTACCAGGCAGAGCTGCTGCTGCAGCCGACCAATCAGGGCTCGTCCTGATCATCCTCGTTTATCTGCACTTTAATTTATGATTCTGCTTCTGTTCAATGTTCAGGCAGAAGATCTGAAACCTGGTCATGGATTTAAACTCCTGCTGGTTGTGATGAAAAGCTGAAGCAACGTTCTGTTATCAAAGAAGCTTATTTTAGTTTTGACTCAGATTAAACTATGAAAAGTGCAGTTTTAGTTCAATCAGCATTTCTGCTTGGTTTTCTGTGTCCATATTTATGAGGTTCATAAAGAGACTCGACAAAAAAATGTCCAGGTCAAGAGTGGAAAAATATTTAATCCGTCCATTTGTCTTCATTCACCCATTCATTTTGTCTATTTATCCGTCTGTCCTCAGCCTGCAGGTTTCACGGTGTTTAAAGGAAAACTACAGTAGAAATATGTCATTTGGTCTCTAAAACAAATGTTTTAATTTAGTTAATTTAATTAAAACCTCTAAAGTCTAATTTTTATTCATTAAAATATTTCTCATCTCTTCTAAAAACAGAAAGTTTGCCTGCAGAAGTGCATGAATGATTTCTAGTGTTATCTTTAAAAAGTCTAAATTTTTCTTCCTGACAGCTCCAGTGTGTTTTTGTCTTGTTTGTCTTAAACCCAGAAACCTTTGACCCTTTGACCTTTCCTCTGTCTTTGCAGTGGAGCAGGAGCGCAACCTGCTGCAGACGCGTCCGTACTGGAAGGAGTTTCGCTTCGACCTGACGCCGCTGCCGCAGGGTGAGACGGTGACGGCGGCAGAGTTTCGGATCTACAAGACGCTGACGATCGGCCAGAGAGCGAACCGGACGCTGCACATCTCTGTTTACGAGATCAAACGAGAAAACAGGAACAGGTCCATCCTCCGGCTTCACTGGATTATTTGTGTTTTCATTGAACTTTAAGACTTTATGAAGCTGAATGACTCTGCATCTTCTGAACTCTGAATGTTTTGATTGTGTGAATCAAAAAATCTGAATATTGGCTGCAGATGTTTTGCCTATGGCGCCATCATCTGGTGTTAATGAAAATATGTATTTGGCAGCAGCTCATTACTTGTCCGGGAATAATTATTCCCATGATTGTGTTTTTGCAGTGCTACACTTGTTCTGACTAAATGGATGCATAATATCCTGAAACATGCAGATTCACTGAAGAAACAGGAAATTTTACTGTTTTTTTTTTCTTTCTCTTTTCTAGTACAAACATCTTAGCACAGCTGAAATAAGTTAAAATTAACTTAAGACTAACTTTTCTGCAGATGGGAACTTGTTTCAAGTCAATAATTCCTTAATATATATATAAATATTTTTTTTAATAAGTAAGTAATGGTTCTATTGGCAGATTATTTCACTTCTATTGTGGAAAAACTATGTTTTTCCCACATTGTTAGTATTTTTGTCAGTGTTAAGGAATTATGAACTTAAAACAATGTCCTGTATCTTGAAGATAAAAATGACTTTAAGTTAGTTTGGTCTTATTTCAAGCACATTAATATGTTTGCATTAGAAACTAGAGTGAAAATATTTCTTTTTGGTAAGATTTGTATTTTTGCAGTGAATTGTGGAACAAACAGTTAATTTGATTGTAAAAACATTTCAAATGTTCCAAAACAACCATAAATAGAAATTTATATTACGATGAGAAATGTTCAGAATAAAGATAATCGTCCACATTAAAAGCCTCAGTGGGCCGTATTCAGCCCCGGCGCCTCGGGTTTGTTTCTCTGATGACGTTTGTTGGTTCCGCTCCTGCAGAGAGTCGGAGCTGGTTCTGCTGGACATGCAGTCGGTTCCCGCCGGACAGGAGGGCTGGCTGGCCTTCGACGTCACCTCCGCCTCCAACCACTGGCTGCTCCACCCGCGCAGCAACCTGGGCATCCGCCTCTACGTGGAAACGGAGGACGGTGAGGTCATCCGCCAATCGCGCCGCAAATTTCAACCAGATCTGTGATTTCCACTTGCTTGATGTTTGTTTGTCTTTCTGGATGATAAAAGTTTTCAGCCTGAAGAATGTTGTAAAAAAAAAACATTTCTGTTGGTTTGTTAGTAAAAATATCTGGATAGTCGGGGTTCTAATTATAAAAACTTGGTTATAAAAAGATTTTAAAAAATAGTTTTCATTGAAACAAATTTGCATCATTCTTTAAACTGCAGTCGTGGACCGCAAAAAAAACAGTCCAAGGGCCACAAGTGGCCCCGGCGCCACAGTTTGGACTCCCTGGTTTAACACCATCTTTTAGTTTTTGGTTTATAAAGTTCAGATTTCAGTCTTTCAATGAATGTTAACTTTTCCATTTTGTTGGCTTCCTCCATCAGATCCAAGCAGTTCTTTAGCTTCAGGTTGAAGACAATGTCTAATAAGCATCCTGACCGGGTCCAGAAGTTCTGATCCTTAGCGCCGTTGCTCTCCTTCCAGATCGCACGCTGTCGGCCAGCTGGATCGGTTTGGTGGGCCGCAGAGGCCCGCGCTCCAAGCAGCCCTTCATGGTGACCTTCTTCAGGGAGAGCCAGATCCCGTGTCGGCCGACGCGCGCCGTCCGGCCCAATCCCAGGAGGAAGAAACCCAAATACGACCTGCCCATCCCCACCATCCACGGTACCAACCTCTCCATTAGGAGAACCCAGGAGTCTTTACCCAGGTTCTGTTTGGTTTAAATCTGGGCCGTTCTGCTTCTCTTCAAGGTCGCAGTTCTGTGAGTAAAGGTCAACCCTGCAAAAAACACGAGCTGTACGTCAGCTTCAGTGACCTGGGCTGGAAGGTGAGTCAAACCACAGAAACACCAGAACATTTGGTTCTTCTGTCGGTCCAGAACTTCTGCACTGCAAACTTAGAGTAACTAAAGTATAAATTAACTCCATTTGTGTAAACTGTCTAAATTGGTCAACCTTTCTCCACATTTTTTTATATTTTATGTGTAAATGTATCTAATTTCACAATATTTGGCCTAAAACCGACTCAGTGCTGCCCTCTGTAGGTTAATCTGTGGAAACACTTGGTTATAATGTTGCATTCCTGCCCCCTGGTGGCGAGTCAGGAGATAGAACAAGAAGATTAATCTGTCATTGAAACAATTAACTGGAGAATACAGATAAAAAGGCGATTTTCAGAAAAAAACATTCAGATCAGTAGTTAAAGCAAAAATGTCCAGAAGTACCTGATTAAAACAACCCAGATTAATATCAGGGCAGAATGAGGGATTGGGATTAATCAAGTATTTTTGAATGTGAATTTTCTGTATTTATTGTTTTTCTGAAATCATGCTGAACTCGTGTTTGGTTCTGTTCAGGACTGGGTTCTGGCTCCGGCCGGCTACTCCGCCTACTACTGCGACGGTGAATGCATCCATCCAATGGGCGCCTGCATGAACGCCACCAACCACGCCATCATCCAGCAAGTGGTCGGTACACAAACATTTAGAATAATTTTAATGTCTGAGTAAAACGAAAAAGCTGCTTTTCAGATTCACAATGGCCACACGGAGCCATCAGAGTACAATTCACTTCATTTTCTTGTTTTTTTGACAGGAAATGTAAAAATATTACTATGTTACGGAAAAACATTAACAGTGAAACGCTTTTTAAACAAAAATTGAAAAGAAAATAAAAACAGCTATAAAAACATCCACTTTTTAAAAAAATACTTTTTCCATTTATAAAAATATAACCATATTTTTATTGGATTTGGAAAATATAATAAAAAGCCTTTTTTTTATTAAACCACCAGCTGCCAATATTCAAACATTTATTCAAAATGACTCCTTTCCATCCAAGAACAAACCTTTAATGGAGTCGACGGTAAAAATCACCTGATCATTAATCAATAATGTTTTGTGTTGTGCAGGTCCACCTGATGAAACCGGACGAGGTTCCGTCGGCCTGCTGCGCCCCCACCAAGCTCAGCTCCATCTCGGTTCTTTTCTACGACGACAACAACAACGTGATCCTGAAGAAGCATCGCAACATGGTGGTGAAAACCTGCGGCTGTCTATGAGGAAGAGGAGGCCGCCCTTCCTCCCTCTGGTACGGCAGGTCGGTTCGCGCTTTAATTGCTGCTTTAGGATCCAGAGGCTTCAGCTTGTTGCTTTCACATAGATTTATTGCAGGCATTCAGACTTTTATCTATTTAAAAACAGATTTAGTTTTCTACAGAAGACATTATTTTACTGTAAAAAGAATAAAAACATTAGATTTGTGTGCCAGATGATTACAGTACTGTTCCAGTTGCTGCTAAAGGTCAACAGGCAAATGATGCTTTCTACAGTTTGATGCCTCGTTTGTTTTAAAATGTTTTTGTATGTGAAGAATCTATTAAACTGTAATAGTAGTTAATGGTGATGCTTTATGTATAAAAATCTTAAAAAGTTAAATATATCGATTGCTTTATTGAAAATGTTAAAAAAAACAACGTACAGTGAATTCAGTCTTTGGGGGAAAATTTTTAACATGAAATTTACTTTTTGTTGCAGTGGAAGAATATTATAATTGGTGGAAGAACTGAAATCTGTTACACTAAAAGTTAGTTGCATGTAATAAATATATATTTTTAAACGTGGGGGGAAGTGGGGGGCTGCTGGTGTTGGTCTGCCCAGGTTTCTGTTGTGCGTCTCCCCCGTCGCCGCTGAATACTGACAGGTCCCGAGTTCGTCAACATCGCCAGGCAACGCAGCCGAGTCGTCTGTGGTCATCATGTTTCTGATTCAGAAAAAAAATAAAACATCCAAGACATAAACACTGGATAACAGAACAACAAAAGTATAAATAAAATCACCTTCCTAAAATAACGACCCAACGCAGAAATCTCATCTCTTTCTAAAAGTAAAAAAGACGTTTTAGGAAAGTGACCAAATGTTCGATACATTTATTGAAACCACTGGCAGGTTTCGCTATTCTTTACAGCCATATGCATTTTCCAGGTACTTGTGCAATTTGACCAATGCAAAGATGCCAATTTCAATAAATTGGCTCAATTAGCACAACTGCAAAGGAAATACTTTTTGCATCATGAGTCCCAGGATCAACAACCAGATGTTACTACTTGTGAAACGACAAACAGGAAGTGGAGGGTCAACTGAACAATTTTTAATCACGTTTTCCGACAACAAACTTATTCATGTGTGAAATAAAGTTTTATCAATAGTAGGAGAAAATAGTCGAAGTTTTTCAGACATTTGTAAAGGAAATGCAGCAACTGTCTGCAACAGTAAACATTTCTGTTTTTGTTTTTCTTTAATCAGTTCTTTAAACCAGTTGTGTCCAAACCAGGTGCAGTTTGGGGACAATTTTGTTTAACAATTTCCAAAATGTCAAGTTGTGCAGCTACATGGTCAATGGAAACAGCTACAGTTTCTTAATTTGTTGGATTGGTTGTTTTCCTACCGAGGAAAAGAAACTCAATGTTTGTAAAAAATAAACATCCTATTTATTAAAGATGCTTTTGATTTATAAAAATGTTGCCCTGATTAATGAAAAATTTTCCATCTTCATGAACTATCCAGAGCTTGTGGGCCAAATTTGCAAGGCCACCAAAAATCCTTCAGAGGGCCACAAATGGCCCCCAAGCCACACTTTGACCAACCCTGATTTTATACCCGTCTCCTTATAAAATGGGTTTCATAATTCCAGCTATGAAAACTTCTTACTTTCACCCATTTTCATCATCTCAGTGGTCCGTTACGCCTGGACGTCGGCCAGCTCCGGAGGCATCGGGGACTTGGGGTGTTTGCTCTCAAAGTGCTGCTTGAAGGTTTTCGGGTCAGGCATCTGGGTCTGAAAGATCCAGAACAAACAGAAGAACTTCAGACTGAAAGAAATGGTCCACCAGTTAAAACCAAAATAGAAAGAGGAATCATCTGTCTGGAAGTTAAACCACTCATGACTCATTTTGTTTAACAGTTCCTGTAATCCGTGTTTTGAAGAACTTGTTGGTACCGACCCGGCAGACAGGGCAGGTGTGGACCAGCGCAGCCTTGGCAGCGGTTTTCTGGTCGGCACCGTGAGATTTCTTCTTCTCTGCTGCTTTCTTTGCGTTCTTTTGCTGGGACTGAATCTTCTGCTGCCCACGAGCCATGGCTCCGTGCTTCAACCTGAGGAGGAAGAGGAGCAGCGGCGTTAAAGGAACGGCGTCACAAAACATGGAGACATGAAATTTCTCAAGTTCAATATAACTTTTCATTAAAAGACTTTTTGTTCCTCACTTTCTAAAGTTAAATCAAAATAACCTCTTGTTTTAGGTCAGCTCGTCGCTAAAATGTCAGAAAACTTAGGGGAAATGTTTTTAGAGATTTTTTAAAACTTTCCTAGTATATTTTGTTCAAGCATTTAATTTCAGCAGAAGATAGTTTACTTTTATTATCAGAATTTATTTGGATCAATATGATATTAATATGGATATGGATATTAATATGGATATGGATCAATATTTATTATTCCTACTCATTCAATACATCATTGATCGATGTCTTATATTTTATAATTGCTCAAGTTATTTAAATTGGTAAAAAAAAAAATGACTCGTATCTCCAAGCTGTTGGATAAAAATTAAGGTCATTTAAAAATGTTTGAAAAGTGTTGCATTTTACTGTGGGAAACAAGTACAAATTTCGAAGGTAATTTATTTAACCAAAAGGTTAAAGGTAAGTCTGAAGTTTACAACAACAATGTGTAATCAAAACAAACCTTCAGCAGTGAAGATACTTCAAACTAATGATGATCTAATTGTAACAAAGGATTACAATTTGTGAAAACATCCTAAAAATTGAAATTTTTCCATTTGTGTGGATTAGCAACCTTCCCTCTAACTAAACAGGTTAATATGAAGCATTTCATACCACAGGTTGGAGTGAATTGCTAAATCTTGCACACATTTTTGTCAACTCTTCAAAACTGAATTTGCAGTTCATTCCTGGAAATTGTGATGCCTTAGAACAAATTACAAATCCAAAACACAGCTATTATTCTGCTGATGATCATCTGTTTATAAAGCATTTTTTAAGATCAATATAAACCGTGCTTAACATACAGAAAACAAATTTAAGCAGATTTGAAAATACCTCTGCTTATTCAGACATTTTTGTACGTCTTCCCATCAAATATTTCATGTCGGACAAAATGCAGTAACATTTATGTCATTTTTTGATCTTATGTAACGTTTACGTTATCAGAGAAGCTTAAATTTTGGGCTTTAACGAGCTGTTAATCTACAATAATACAAAAAACGACTCAAATAGAACTCTGCATGTCAGAAATTCACTTTTGTTTGATTTTCTTATTAATTCTATGTCAATTTAAAATACAGCTTTAAATAAACATTAATACTGTGCTTAAGCTACGATTCAGACACCAACTTCAGGGAGCTAAGTTAGCGCCGAGAGACAAATGGAAACCCGTTTAGCTGTTTAAGTACTTTTATCCGCTTTGAGTCATTCGAGCCCAGGTGCCTGATGATGTTTTAGCAGATAACATGTAACAAAATGTCAAGTTTGGCAAAAACTACCGCGGCTCAAAGCCGGTTTTATTCCAACCGGCGCCGCCTTGAAGCTAACGATTCTCGCTTAGCAACGCTAAAGTTTCATACAGCTCAAAGTTAGTTAATAGCACAATTTCTTTACGTTTAAATGATAACAGTGGATGTGAACGTTAATTTCAAACCGGAATAAAGTTTAACCGGAGCTATTAAGATAGTAAGAAGCTCAGAAACTCGGTGAGGTTTACCTTCGAGAGTGCACTCCGTCTTCTCTCCTTTCGTTGCTTTCCTTCTTTGAGAGCGGAGTAGTTTCCAGCGCACCCAGAAACCACGAGGGCCCTCTAGCTGGACGGAGGTGGAACTGCAACCTACGTCTTCCACATTGATCCAGCCTTTTAAAAAAAATTGTCACATAAATGTCACTAATGACCTAAAAATTTGACTTAATATTCGAAAACCTCATTCATTTAATTCCAGAAATTTAAGCTTCTAGTCATAGAAAATACCTTTGATCTAACAAATTTAGTTCTTCACAGGAAAATTTCTGTTAGAATATTTAGTGGATTTTCTTTATTTATCTAACTGACTCAGTTTCTAGAGTTTCTGATGAAGAACTCTAAGCTCAGAAAAGTTTGCATTACATTTCTGTCCAATGATTCAAGAAGTAGTCTGGAATCAAAAGGTTCAGAAAAGTAAATACTCAGGAAACTAAAAAGAAAACAGGCAAACAGAAGCAGACAACAATGGGTCTAAAAGTTAAAATCCTCCTTGAAAAAATCTGGAGGATTTTGATATCAAATCCATACAAATTCAATAAATTTTCAATGTAGAACTTTTGAAATGATTCAGACGGACATTTTAAACACAGTTTCACCACTTTATTACAGCAAATGAGTCGATACCGTACACATAACAGAGACAGCTTTGTGTTTTTCTCTCCTTCAGCCTTCGCCACATGAACAGTCCCCCGGGTCAGAACCAACATCAACAGCTTATCACAGGAAAAATGAAAAACAACGAGCAACACGTCAGATTAATAAAAGATTTGAGGTAATGTGAAACATTTCTGTAAAATACTGCGCAGTATTTTAATATTGCAGTCAGAGACAGCACAAGGTTCTGGTCCAAAATATCACTAACTAAGCACTTCCCGTCTGAACGGCGCCACCTACAGGCTGGAAACTGTTAATGATGAGAATTATAAGAGAAATCCGACATACAAAAAGTTCCTGCTGCAAGAACGCATAAGTCTAACAAAATAAAGAATTTAAAAAGATTACATCCAACTGCATAAATAAGAAACTGATATAGTAGGATAACATTAGACACAGAAATGTAAAGAAACTTTCACCTTGAGGCAGACCTGCATGTTTACATTTCTGTGAATTTTTGGTCCATTTTGAAATATGTAATTAACTTCATATGTAAATAAAGTCATCAGTGTGTCAAAGGCATGTCAGAGTTTTAAGGTTATTTTAAATAAAAGAACAAAAATGTGGCAAATCGCTACAAAAAATAACATTTTTGACATTAATTACACACTACTAAGAAACAATTTTTGATTTTCTCTGATGCAAGCATTTTTTGCAATTAAAGCCATAAATTCCTAGACTTTCACCAAGATATTCCCAGACATTATAAAGTCTTGTTTTTATATAAATGTTCTGATTTAAAAAAAATGCAAGAAATGCTTTAAGACTAAAGTGGAAAATATTCAGATCTTGCGCTAAAAACATGACAAGTAACCGCCGTAATTAAGGCAATAGATGAAGAAAATGGCTGTTTGATTTACTCCTAACTTTACCGACTTAGAAAATAAGAAAGGGAATAATATTTGGAAAAAAATGTTTTTATTAACTTTCAGACAGTATAAGAAAACATATTCAGAATTCAGAGAAATAGTCTGGAAAAGTATGGATTAAGTTAGAAGGAAATACATTCTGGCTTCCCAACTTTATTCATAATTATATAATCTTAAGTATTCTAATCTCAATTATTTAAAAAACTTTTCATAGTAAGTCTTTATTTTATTGTCCTTTAAAATAGACTCATGATTCAGATGCCAAACATCATCATTTCAATTATTTTGGGAAATTTTCAACAATATGTGGGAATATTTGTTTTCAGCGCTGCGTTGTCATGATGTCCAGAACATTTAAATAAAAACTCAAAAATACAAATTATATTGTTTTGGAGATGAAAAGAAAAATTGCAGAAAATTCTCCAAATGTTTAGAAACTTAAAAAAAAGGAACAAGTTTTTAAAAATTTAAAAAAGAAATTTTTAGAAATCTGTTTGACTTTTTAGACCCAAACTGACTACATTCAGTCTCGTTTGTTGAGAGGAAGACGATATTTTGGATCAGAACCAGACAGCACTGGATCAAACCCGGATCGGACTGGCAGAAGGAGAACAGCCGAGATTCTTCACAGTTTTTACAAAACGACAGAAAGAGAGAAAAACATCATCTGCAAAAATGACGAGTGGTTGTTTTATGCTTTTTTGCAGTATTTACATTTTGAATCGTGGAGAAATAAACAAATGCAAAACAAAAAAAAAACTATTTACAAACTAAGATGTCGACAGAATGAGGGAGGTCAAATATAACCAACTCTGTCTGTAATCAAAAGAAATAAAATCAGTGATATTTACATGTGCAATAAGGAAATAAATGGCTTCTGTTGGAGAAAAATCGGCGCTTCACGCCTGGTTTCCTCCCTGCAGGGATTTCATTTATCTGTTTTCATTTCACACTTTTTCATTGCCGCAGTAATCTGGACAGCTCTGAGCGTGAGCGCCCCCTGCAGGGACGAAGGGCGGCGCGGACGCTGGGCAGGGAAGGAAGCAGGATGTGGGCGGCAGTGACCTCATCTGACCCCGAGGTTGCCAGTTAGAAACCGGCCGGCAGCGACACGAAACACCAGGCTGTTCAAACACGCTACACTACGAACTTTCACGTGTTCTGCTCTGCTGACTAACACCGGTACCGTACAGTTCGGACCGCAGTAAGAATCTCAGACACAAACACAAGGATTTACATTCGCTGGATTTCTACATGTGTTTTTCTCTCTAAAAGCTTTTATTTATGCTGTAAGATACGCAGTAAAATCGCAATCTTAAAGCTGCTCGATTTTGAGGGGCTGCAGCTCGCTTTTAAAAGCAAACGAACCAAAAGAAATGCAAATAAAAACCCTGAACTGATAATAGAAGATATAAACATTTTGGAGGCTCAGAATGAGAACGGCTGGTCTTTAAGGTCTGAGGTTTCTACAGAAATCGCTAAGTTAATCTTTCATCCAACAGGTTGGCCAGTCACAAGCAGCTACCACTGTCAACCACAGGAGGGCACTAGTGATCTGCCACAGCAGAGGAACAGAACTCAGACACTATGCTGCGCACTCCACACCGAAGCAATGCAAGAATGGCCAGTTGTTTCCAATCAGAAGTGCTTGAACGTTTTAACGTTAATATAAGTATTTTTGTGTTGTAAAGTTGTTAAACTTGCCAACAGATGCTAACTGATAATAACATCCAGTGTTTAGGTTTTCACTCCAGCAGGCGTTAGCTCAATTTTAGCTTTTATTTAACGACAGAGTATTAGGGTCATAAATAATCAAAAAAATAAAATTAAAAGATAAAGTTATACAATTACAAGAAGTTAAATGAGAATAAATTCATAATATGAATAAATTTATATTGTTATAAGAATAAACTTGTGTGATAATAAAGTCATGCAAGAATAAAATGACAATATTATAACATTTAATTTCCCTCTGGAATCAATAAAGTATTTTTGAATTTATTCTTGTTTAATTTTTTATTTTCTTTGCGGGGCCCTAATACTCCCTCGTATTTTGTCTATATAGTTTAAGGCTAAATTAATGTAAAATCCATTGTTAACCTGTCATTTAAAAGCAAAGTTTCCAACAGACCAGTCCTGTCTTTCTTCTGGCATTTAAACAATCTGAGATGTGGAGCGGCATTCAGCAGGGTTCATATTCAGACCTTTTAATTTCAGAAAAAATAAATAAATAAAAAAAAACACAGGCTGTTCGGTCTTTGCACGCTCAGACAGATGTTTTAACGGCACAAATATCGGGTCTCGCTCTGAATCAAGACAAATCCGAAGCATTTAAAGACAAAAATAGTCAAAAACAGCCAAAGAAGTAATTCTGCAAAACGTTTTCAGATTGAACAATGGTCTGGTGTTTCTCCATTGGTCGGCGAACCACACAAAAATCTCAACTGCATGTGAATGCTAACTTTTCAACAAATTCACTTCATCCTAAATTAAAACTAAAATCAAAAGTAAGAGGTGAGAAACACGACTACAGTGGATTTCTGTGGCTGCTGCTGCCACCTGCCAAACTGATCCAAAACTCTGGGTTGGATTTTCCAAACATCGCAGATTTAAAAATACATAAGAATAAAAAATTATCTGATTTTAAAAATAATAATCAACGTTTGACCACGTGGTAAATAAATAAAAACAAAACGTGGATTAAAAACGTTCTTTTCAGAGGACCAGCCCCGACTATTGAACCTCCTCATTCCACCACACCAGGTGTGTGTGTGTGTGTGTGTGTGTGTGGGGGGTGTGTGTGTGTGTGTGTGTGTGTGTGTGTGTGTGTGTGTGTGTGTGTGTGTGTCTACAACAACCTCCTGCCGTTTCCATCCCGGCAGCTAAAGAGTTAACAGTCTTAACAGATTTACTGTACAGAGACAGATTATAGAGGTGGACAGAAAGCAGCAGAGAGAGAGAGTGTGTGTGTGTGTGTGTGTGTGTGTGTGTGTGTGTGTGTGTGTGTGTGTGTGTGTGTGTGTGTGTGTGTGTGTGTCTGAGAAAGGGAGGCCTGCAGGTAGACGTTGGTTCGCCCTTCACATGCTGTTCACGGGTCCGGGATGCAAACTGTGGTGAGATGAATCTGAACCGGGACCATCTGAGGAAACAGAGCGAAACGTTTCAACCCGTTTTTCTGTTGTTGTTGCAATGCTGCCATCTTGTGTCTAAAAACAGCAACAACATGCATCTCGCCTCAATAATAAAGACAAAAAGGCCACGTTTACTCCCATTCGTACTTTTTAGAATTGATTTCAACATTTTTAAATCTTTGGTGACCCGTTACCTCGGTAACCCATCCCTACCAATTAAATTCAACCGAAATTGTAGTTTGAAATCAGTGTTTCTCTTCACTCCACTTTGGAGCTGAAATGATTAATCATGATGAATCGATTAATTAAAATAACAGTCAATTAATTCAGTAACAGATTAATTGTTAACTGGAGAACACAGACTCAAGAAAAGGCAGTTTGCTGAAAGAGCAACACACCCAGAGCTGTAATTAGATATAAACAAAAATATAAGCATTTAGCATGTTAAAGAAATGCTACGACAGAATGATGGTTAAATGACGAAAGGGCTTTCCCACCGTGGACAGAAGCAGCCGTATGCGAGCGAGCGTGAGGAGGGATGAGGATCGAGTTCAGCTGAGGCTGGATCGAGAGCTCTGCACATAAAAGCAAACGCCAGACTCCTGCTGAGGATGCAGAAACTGAGGAGAACGGTGAGGACGAACGCGGCTCTGACCTGTGGTGCTGAAGTTGAAGAGCAGGGGCAGATCGCGTCCGCTGGGCAGCCGCGCGTTCGGCTGGCGCAGCTCATCGAAGAAGGCGTGGGCGCAGGCCTCCAACGGGGAGAGCCGCGACGCCGGCGTGTACTCCAGCAGCCGGGAGCAGAGGGTGATGGCCTCCGGAGAGGTACGAGGTTTAAACACCTGAAAACAACAATGGTTCCACAGAAAGAGGGCGCCAAAGAGCTGAAGGGTTGCATTTTATTCCAAATTCAAAGTAAAAATTTAAAGCGACCCACTGAATGAAAAACAAACATGTTTTAACCAAAACTTCCAAAATAGGTTTTAGTGTTTTCTCACCTTGGTCCATGGATGAGCTTTGATCTGTGGGAACTTGAACTCTGTGTAGTTTGGGTTCATCTCTCGTATCTGTTCCCTCGTCGGGGTTCCCAGCACCTAAAACCCAAATCAGGACAACATTAATTATGCAAGAGGCTTAAAATCAAAGTCAGTGTGAATTCTTGAAAGAATTAAGTAATATGGAGTCACATTCCTGCCAAGAACCACAGAGAAATAATGGAAGAGAGAACTGATGAAAGAAAAGCTGTTTGCCATTTATTTGCAGGCACATGAATGTATCACAGCAGGCGGTAAACCAAAACGCTCCTCTGGGTTTTGGGGCAGCAGTGTGACTCCATACATGCATAAATCAAAGGTCAGAGGTCAGCCTCACCTTGATGATCTCCACCAGCTGGTCGACACCGCTGTCGCCGGGGAATATGGGCTGACCCAGCAGCAGCTCCGCCAGTACGCAGCCAGCTGACCAGATGTCGATGTTCGCCGTGTAGTCAGTGGCACCGAAGATGAGCTCCGGGGCACGGTAATACCGCGAGCAGATGTACGACACGTTGGGCTCACCGCGAATCAGCTGCTTGGCACTGAGGGCAAAAACAGAAAACCATCAGAGTGGTAGAAACGATTCAACAGAGGCCGCCGTCGGCCGCCATCAGCCGCCCGCCGTCGGCCGCCGTCAGCCGCCCGCCATCGGCTGCCCGCCACTCACCTGCCGAAGTCGCACAGCTTGAGAATGGCGGTTTCTGGGTCGACCAGGAGGTTCTGCGGCTTGATGTCTCGATGGCAAACGCCCTGCGAATGGATGTAGGCCAGGCTGCGAAACAACTGGTACATGTAGACCTGAGCAGGGAAAGACAGCAGGTCGCATCAGGAAGAAAAATCAAACTTCTGATGACGTTTCTACCTTCACATAAATGATGGGAATGATGCTCTTGGTTTTGTTGAAGTGCCGGGCGACCCGGTAGACCGTCTCAGGGACAAAATCCAGCACCAGGTTGAGGTAAACCTCGTCTTTCTGTCAGAAAGAAAAGAGTTAGGAGTTCAAAACAAAACAAGCTGCCGGGAAAGATTTACGTCAAGTTGTTTGAAGCAAAATGTTACAAAAACATTAAGAGTGTTTACAGGAACAAATTATGGCTTCGGTTTACAGCAACAAACTACTGAACCACAGCAGAGCGAGGTGCAGTTTCTACACGTTCATGCATCAACTGTATTTTAAAACAGAAAGAAAACCAAAAGATGAGAAAATAGAAGACAAAAAACAAAGACAGAAAGATGAAGACAGAAAATCGAAATGAGGAAAAAGAAATTAAAACAGAAAAGAAAGAAAATACAACATCAGAAGAAAGTACAGAGAGACAGACTCAAAGACAGAAAGACGAAAAGAAAGACAAAACTAACATAAGAGAAAAAGAAAGAACCAAGAAAGGAAGGGAAAATGTGAAGACGGAAGACCGACAGAAAGACAGGACGAAGATGGAAAAACAGAAAGAAAAAGAGAAAGATTGAAGACAAAGACAAAAAGTCTGGAAGCTGAAAAGACGGATGGACATTTCCGCCCAACCTTCTCGCCGCTGGAGTAGAAGAAATATCGCAGTCGGACGATGTTGCAGTGATCCAGCTTCCTCATGATCTGTAACTCCCGGTTCTGAAAAAAAAGCAAAAAAAAAACAAATGAAATTTTTCAAAATAAAAGACCCAACAGATTAAAATAAAGTCCGGACCAAAGCTTCACCTTAAACCTCTTATCCTGCAGAACTTTCTTAATGGCCACCATCTCCTGGCTGTCGATGAGCCGAGCCTGGTACACCACGCCAAATGATCCATTCCCAATAACCTGCCGGGATTTGCAGAACACCAGTCAGACCAGTAAAGGCTGATGGGAGCGACTGGTTTCTGAGCTTTATTCTGGACTCTTTTAAAGCAACAGGAAACCTGACCAACAGCTTCATGTCCAGTTTTAGTTTCAGTGATTCGACTCGATTTGACAAACATGAAGTTATTTTTCCAGTTTTAGCAGAAGAAACTCAAATTGATTATCTGTTACCGAAATAAAGAATATAATTACAAAAAATAAATGAAATCAGTATTGATTCAAATAAATACTGAAAGTAGTAAGTGAAATAGAAAAATAAACAACAGTGATAATTGTTAACTTAAGAAACAAATAAGCATCTTTTTTTTTGTACCTTTGGATGCATATTTGGTACATATTCATCAAATCATTTATTAATTTCTACATTTATGGCCAATTTTGACATGAGTTGTTCTCCATAGAATTGTGTAGCTTCTGCAGACTCCCATCAGAGATTACACATTTGACTTCATAGAATAAATAATCTGAAAACATTTAATGCAAAGCTCACAGATTAAAGTCTTAATTGTTTATTTGGCATCCAAGAAACGCATCTGGATGGAAAAGTTTTTCTATTTGCAGCTAAATAAATCATTAAAAGTCTTTGGCATTATTTGCAGTCCAACATTTCAGTGACCTGGAACGTTTGGTGGTGATTAAAGAGCGAAAGAGAGCAAACAGCCACCTTGATGTCAGTGTAGGAGACTTCCTGTGGGCGGTCTGGACCCTGACCCGGCGTCGCTACAACCGTCGTCACCTTCCCAATGTCTCCTAGGCGACAAGCAACAACAGGTTTCATCAAACATCGAGGGATAAAGTCTAAAAAGACGTTAAAAATAAGATCATTATGGTGTTAAATCGCTGGACCTTCTCTCTGCTGCCTGGAGGAATATTTGAGCTGGATGGATTTTAACACACAGAATGTCAGAGTTCATATTCATGGCTGTGTGACTAATTAACCTGGGAAGCCGCAAAACTAGGCCAACAATGTCTTTATTCTGAAGAGCTGCGTTCAGTGATGCCAGCCAGCATTTAAAAGGATTATTCTATCCAATCCAGCTTCAAAGGAAAAGTCCGACATCTAATTAACTAATTTATAGTTAATAATATTTTATTTCTTGTAATGCCAGCTGGAGCTAATTTATTGACTCATTCAGGGATGCAGCCATGTGTGGCAGGATGAGGAGTTATTTCAAGAATATTTCATATGTTTACATTTTACATTTCTTAGGTTCATTTTTATGTGTAAACTAACTGCAACTAAATACTGTTTAATTTATTGAAATTGAAAAGTTAAGTAAGCTCCTAAGAGCACCACCGACCTGGATATGAGTCTCACATCACAGAAAAAACGGATGGGCTACAACTCGGCTTGAAAATCAGCAATAAGAATTAAAAACTATTTCATTTCTCTCTCTTTATAAAAGAAATCCACAGAAGATAATAAAGCTCACTAACAAAGTATGACTTTTTCTCAGATTAAAAATTCATTAAAAAAAACAGGAAAAAAAGTCAATTACAGAGGAAAAAATACATTGAAAATATTTGAGAATAATGAATTATGATAAAAAGTGAGAATTCTGAGAAAAGTTTGTTCACATTTTTTGAACGTAGAAAGAAGTTTGTATGATAACAGTCATTAAAGAGACACTCCACTTTAATATCACTGAAAAGCCGCCATTTTGAGAAATGATGCAAATTTTTAACACTCGTTATGAAGTCGTCAGTTTGCGCCAACTTACCCTTTTGCCTGTTTTCCCTGTCAAAGTCAAATGGTTATTTCTTGAAATGCAATTTTCATAATAAATTTTAATAATGCAATTTCGATTGTTTTATTTATTTAAAATATTTTCCAGCTCCAGTGTTAAATGTTCTTTAGAAATTAATGCTTTATCATCTTGGGTGGGTATTCTTAAATTAATAAGCCATTACTATTAGTTTGGCTGAAATTGTGTTATTATAATTTCTGGGGCAATTTGTGATCATGACAAGGCGACATCTTTGTCTTCTGCATGGTAAACCATCATCAGTCCATAAAGCGTGCTGCTTATCTAACCCCAACACTGCTGGTATCGTATCGGCTAACCGGGTCACTGAGTTCTTTAACCAGACTACGAGGTTCATCCTCTGGACAAACATAAAGAAGTAGATAAGAAGTAAAATGCTGGTTGCTGTGCTATTTCTTCATACCAAATTCCACTTTTTCCTCAGTTTTGGAATTTTTTCCACAGTATTTAATATTCTCAGTCATAAACCGTACCAAAGGATTTGTTGCGGGGTTTAATATGCATTTTCTTCCAGGCTCTGCAGCCTTGAAAATTCTTTGAAACCTTAAATTACTGGGGAGAAATGACAAGACAAACAGAGGAAACACTTCAAATTCCTTTTTTCTACCAGACTACAGGAAAAACCTACTTCAACATCACATATAGGGTCTTCCGAATATACGTAAACCCAACCTCAATGTTCACAACATTTTTGTTCTCTTTGTGCATCTAGTGGGGTTTGACTACTTCTTTATATCCAAATATGTATTTTTATTATATCAGTATTGTGGTTAGGACTGTCATGATACATCTGGATGATAAATTGTCAGAAATAATTGTGATACATGATAATATTGCCTGTGAGAGTCGCCCATCTTCTTTTCTCAACAGATCTCCATTTTTCTGTGATCTTTAGCATTTTGGGTGATCTTAACTCTGTCTGATATGAACATCTGTGGCCAATTTTAGCCAGCTAACACTTTGACTATATTAGCAACAATCACTCCACTAATAGTCCTTAGCGATATGCATATTGCACACGGATCCTGCAATGACAATATATTTGTGATATATTACTTTGAACTGGAGTTAATGCGTGAAGAGGACATGCTAGCACAAACTAGCTGCAGGATAAATTAGACCACGTGGATTATATGAGGAAAACACAACAAGGAATCCAGAAATTGAGATCTTAGACACAAACGACTCACTTGAGCTTTGAGTACTGTGACCACGCCTTCTTTGATTCACTCACAATACAAAAATTATAAAATGTAGACTGAACTTTAGCCTCTTATGTGAAGGTATATAATTTGACAAATAAAGTATTCCAAGAAATTGCTACTTTAAAATATCGTCTTATCACCCAAATAGCGAATCATTAACATGTCACGAGAGTCATAAAACTTCTTCAGTCAGAGGCAACTTCAGCTTCATTGGAAGACTGACTGCTACCACAAAGACTCATTGAATGTATTGTGATGACATAAGATACAACATTTAAAATGGATTTAATATGTTTCATATTAGTTTATGAGTGAAAAAACAAACTCATTGATATTCCAGAAGGCATCAGTGAAGCTGGACGTGCATCACTTGCATCCTCCAGGCGTCCGCCACCTGCTGCCGAGTCTTTGCCCCACAGGTGACCTTGGTGGGTGAGCATCGGTCCGCCCTGACCCAACCCCAGGCGAGCCAGACCGACAGCTGATGCTCCTCTCACACCAACACCAACAAAAGAGCCCAGTCGATGCTGCATCCAAGTTATCCGAGCCTGGCTTTGCCACAAAGAACCACCTACTAATTCATGTTCTCACTCCCATCTGACCCCAGAAAAATCAACCCGAGCCAGACACGGTTTCATATTTTAAATTCAGATGATCAGCTGATAGCCTGGCGTGATAATGATCTTCTGAACTGGAGGGAGGAGGTGATTTCATCCGGACTAACAAAACAAGTGGCTAAAACAGCCAGGCTAGCTAGCATGCTAATAAGTTCGTTAGCATAGTAACTATTCCAACTGGGAAAAAAAAACTTAAAAACCTGGCGTGCTAACGAACTTGTTAGCAATCTTGTTAGCATGCTAGCTATTCGTTACACAGAGAGATTACTTTTCTCAGTATCTAGTTATTTTTCAACATTAGAATTGCTGCTGCAATATATGCAAGGGATACAAGTTGAAGCTAAGAAATAATATGTATAAATAACTTACTGGAAAGCTTAAGGTTCGAGCATCCCGACGAGCTGCTGCCGGAGGCCTGTGGGACCCCGGACTTTCCTGTGCTGCTCCCCACGGCAGCGGCTGATCCGGCGGAGGCTGCAAGGGCTCCTGGAACAACTGGCGGCTCAGCAAACGAGCTGGTCCTGGGCCGCCCGCTGCCGCTCATATCTCTGAGCAGAGGTCAGAGTTATTTTTCCCACTGTTTTCAGCTTAGTGACTAATAATTATGAACAAGCAGCAGCGAATAATGTCATAAAATAGCGCTCCAGTTGCCGCCGCCAGCTGTCTGGGCTGAAAGCTGTTGCTAGACACCTAGAAACGGAGCTCCCGCAATGCCACCTGGGAAATGTAGTACGAGGCTGCTGAGGCCGTTTATAACCTCTAGCAATTTTAACATTTATTATGAAACAAAATATTAAATATCAAACAAAATAATTAACATTTACAACTCCCAAATATCCCAATTTAAGATCATATACATGTACTTTAGGGCCACTGCAAATGGAAAAAATTAGAACATTTTCCAATACAACACTCTAATGTTGAGATAAATTTTTAATTTTTTCTGGAAAGAACTTGTAAATTTAAAATTATATTATGAATCTATGTTGTTTTTCAATTTATATTTATAGATTTTTTTCAGTCATTTTCCCTCATGTCATCCAGATGGAATCAATTTATCATGTGAAAGTGTCACATGATCTTTTTTAAAAGTTAGCTTATAAATTTAGACAAATATCTACTTTAGGAAGCTCATTGTCATTTTTCAAAGAGCATCTGAAAGCACATTCATAATTTTTCACTCTTCAAATAATAAAAACAGTATAAAAATAATTTACTAAACAAATAGTTTGACTATGATTATTGTCTTTTACAAGTTTACAGAATCAACAGGAATTTAAATATTGTTTATTTCTCTTAGTTCTGTTCAGTTTTTTCTTTTGCCATTGCTTTTTGGTTTTGGTTTTCTTCTTTCACATGTGCATAAAAAGGTTAAAGAATGACTTGAGAAAATAAATAATAAATCATTGCTGGTACTTTTAATGCCATTTTTTGTGGCAATCTAGTGCAAATATTGCAGAACAAACATTTAAAAAATGTTGCATTTATATTAAAAACTATACCTGGTTCTTTTAAATATTTATCTAGAAGGTTGCTTTGTTTAAACATATTTTAAATGTAGGAAGAGATGCAAACTACAGATAAAAACTCAACAACACAAAGCATTGTGTTAGATCTTTAATATTTAGTTTCTTTTTGTTGTCATTTAGAAATATTGCACATGGTCAACATGCCTGCTTATGAGATAACACTCACATTGCTCATCCTACAAATTCCTTCTCCAAAGTAAGGATAGGTTTATTTTAGAAGCACAATCATACAGTGTACACGCATACATGTGTATGAGTGCATGCATGTCTGTGCGGGTGTGTGCAAGAGCGCATGTGATCGCACATGCACACAGATCGACACTCAACAGCCCTAAAGAACCCCCATAGTGACGTGATCTGGTAGTCTACTATTAACCTGTGTATGTTTATTCATATATGTACTAAAACGAGTCTCCTGCATACGTGATATATATATATATATATTTATATATGTCTCCTGAATCAGCTGAGTTTATTAACAGTCTAGATGGCTGAGAAAATAGTCACGGTGACTATAAAAATACCGTCTCTTGAGTAGGAATACAGAAAAATATGCTGACGATGACGTTGCTGAGAGGTGAAAGGAGACCTGCCTGCATGTGCAAAAACATACACATCCCCCAAAACACAGACATAGATGCACAAATATGGAAATACCTGTAATATATTTATATATATTTTGTCACACATCCATATGTATACAGAGAAATAAAAGAGATACCCATAATAAGAACTACCCCCGCTCCACTCTTCACCAAAGAAGCAAAGAGCCAAAAAAGTGCTATTCAAATAATTGTCGTTGACTTTTAGTAAGTTATGCTCTCTATCTCTTCAACAATGACAATATTTGTGATTCTTTTTTGTTTTTTTGCTGTTTTTTTTTTTAAACCATAGTTCATCACAACAGCTCATTCCTCAGACTGTACTGCAAAAACACAAAATCTTACAATGTATTTGTGGTCTAGTTTCCAGTGCAAATATCTTGAATACGCTTGGAATAAGAGAAAATTAACATAAGTAACGTTTTCACAAGATTTAGAAGTTGTTTTATGTCAATAATTTATTGATATTGATGAACGTTTGGACAAGGATTTTAAGTAAAATCAAGAAAATTATCAATAACTCAACCCAGGAAAAAGGCTTCAGTCAGAGGCTGCAACACAGACTGCTACAGGAGATCCTTCCTGCCCACAGCCATCACCATCTACAATAACTCTGAAGAATTATAATTTAATATTTAATTTTCCTTTGGAATCAATAAAATATTTTTGAATTTGGATTGAAAAGTGGAACAAAATGTTTTTCCCATATTATGAGTTAAAATGTTTACTACCTTTTAAAATCAATATTAAATAATTATTGATTCCCTGTAAAAACACCAAAAATGATCATGGAACATACATGACAAAAGACTGACTTTGTAACTGTCAGTTTAGAGTAGTAAGTGTAGTTTCTAGTCCAATTGAAATAAGTTAAAGCTAACTTATATGTAACTTTTCAACAGGATACATTAGCTTGTGTTAAGTGAGAAATTTCTTAATATTGATGAAAAAGTACAAGCTCCCTTACAAGACATTTTAACATAATATAGCAACGATGTTTTCATCAATGTTGAGAAATTAATGACATAAAACAAGCTTCTATAACTTGTTGAAAAGTTACTTCTAAGTTATTTTTGTCTTAATTTCAGTGCACTAAGATATTTGCAATAAAACCTAGACAATAATTTTTAGGATTTTGTGTTTTTTCAGTGGAACCTTCAGAGACACAGAAAGACAGTTACAAAGTCAGTCTTTTGTCATCTATATTCCATGATGATTGTTTCATAATTGTTTGCTGTGTTAAGTTTTTATGGAGCACTGCCTTATTTCTGAAATATGGTTTACAAATAAACTGTCATTTAACAGGAAGAATAGAACAAAATAATTCATACTAAAGATACTTGTACTAGAATCTAGAATGAAAATACTGTCATATTTTGTGTTTTTGCAGTTAAAACAAGCTACTGCATCTTGCTAAAAAGTCATTTGTTTTATTCGAAGTGTACTAAGATATTTGCACGAGACGCTGCAGAGGTGGGCAACTCCAGGCCTTAAGGGCCTCCTGCAACTTTCAGGTGTCTCTACTTCAACACATCTGAGTCAAATGATGAGGTCATTAGCAGGACTCTGGAGAACCTGACTGCACTTGGGAGGTGATTCAGTTATAGGATTCAAGTGTGTTGGACCAGGGAGACGTTGCAGGACACCGGCCCTCCAGCACCAGGGTTGCCCACGCATACGCCAGACCAAAAATACTTGGTAAGATTTTGTGTTTTTGCAGTGCTGCTCTTAATTTAATATCTATGGCACAAAGCCTTGCCCCTCCCCGCCCAAAATAAAGACCTATTTCCAAAAAAAATAAATGTCCTATTGCACCATTTGATGGGAAAGGATAAAGTGTCGAGACGAGAGGAAGAGAGGGAAAGGGAGAAAGGGTGGGAGGGCTCCAGGTTTTGCCCTCCAGGGCTGGTCTAGGATCTGCTTTCCCTGAACTGAACCCAAACCAGAACCATCCTGAGCTACATAACGCTTGACCCGGGACCAGTGCTTAAGGGCACTTTCTAACAAATCTTTGAATGGGGAGGGAAAGACGGGTTGGGAAAACATACGGAACGAGGTTATTTTTACCAAAACAATCTCTTAGAAACAATACTTTCCTGATTGAACTTGTGGCGACCCCCGTCGACAACAAGAGGCCACACAAATTGTGCAAACACCTGATTTCAACGATTTTTTTGTTTTTCTTTACAAAACCACAAACCAAACCCCGCCCCGCCCTGTTTCTGAGTCCGGGTGGGGGAGGGAGGGGGCAGACGGATTTATCCCCTTCTTCGTCCAGTTTCCTGCTTTCTTTCTTTCTCTTCTTCTTTTTTTTAAAAGTTTTTATGCTGGAGAAGAAACACAATAAGAGCCACGAGAGAGACAGAGAGAAAAAACAGGCCACGGTAAAACTGGTTATTTCCACGGCAACGATAACGAGAAGAAAAGCGTCATTTCTGAGAAGTTTGGTTAAGATCTTGCTTTTCTGGAGTTTATGCCTCCAAATCTTTACATAATCTCATACAGACTCAGATATCCGGCTCCGTCCGTCGTAATGGCAACAACTGAAGGTGCAAAGGTTGGTCACTACATCCCGATTCTGCGTCTCCGACTCTCTACAATCACGTGAAACGGTGCAGGCCGATGGCTTTCTCCGACCCGGGTTGATTATCTACGTGTGTGTGCGCGCTGTCTGTCCTGCAGCATCGAGGGGCTGTGAGTTATCAGTGGAGGTCGTTGGGGTTGTGTTTGCAGCCCGACCACGGTGCTGAGGAGGTCAGAGGTCAGGTCGATGGCATCTGAGGGGTGGCTGGCTGGCTGGCAACAGCAAACTGCATCTGCACGGTAAGGTAAGTGACATAGTGCCTTTGTGTGTCGTGTCCTTGGTTGTGGCAACAACCAAGTGTAACAGTCTGATTTGGTTTGTGTGTGTGTGTGTGTGTGTGTGTGTACCAGAGAGACAGAGAGTGTGTACCGCAGAGTTTGCTCCAAACTGCTGCAATGTGCTGAGCGCAGACCTGGGCAACATTCAGGACAAAAGGAAATTCAAGAAGCACTTGCTGTGGTTCCAACACATTAAGATTAGACAATCAAAGCTAGTCTTGAGGAGTCTTATTTTTGCCCAGGTCTAGTGGAAATCAGTGCCACAAACCCTTCTCTCTTCATCTTTCAGTGAAATTATTTTCCTGATTCCCGATCTCCTCTGTTTTGTTGTTTGTTTGTTTTTTTACGATCCTTCGTTTTTCGGTTCCTCCAAGTTTTGGCCTTTGTCTCCCTGATGCTCCGCCCCGCCATCGTCCCGCGCTGATTGGCCGTGGGACGGGGCGGGCCCAGCTTCGGACGACTCGAGCGTCCCCGGCGTCGCTGTCTGCATGATCTTCTGACGAACCTCGCGGATCTTCAACTGCAGACACAACTTGGTGGGGAATGTGTCCGGGTAGCGCGCCTGGAAAGAAGCCGTGGCCTGAGCTGCAGAGACGAGACAGAGAAGAGGAGGACAATGTTCAATCAATCAATCAAGTTTATTTGTATAGGACATGTCAGCAACATGACAGTTCAAAATAAATGTAATTGCTTTCATCAGGACAGAGACTGGATGTACCTGAAGGAAAGAAGCCGTGTTCCTGAAAAAGCTGCATGACCAGCGCGCGACGTTGGTCCAGTGTCCTCCGCAGAGACGAGTACGGGACCCTGTCCGGGTCTCCCGGGGGGACGTCGCCTTCCGGACCTGCTGCAACAACAAACAACCTCACAAAACGGCTCATACGCCATCTGACTGCAAAAAGATAAAATAAAATCTTACTAAGTATTCAAAGTGGTTTACAGCATAAAAACATAATGCAGTCGCCAGTTATGAAACAAGTTATAGGTATTTCCAGAAACCATCATCAATTTAAATACATATAGTAGAAGACTGACTTTGTAACTGCCTTTATGTGCTTCTGAAAGTTCCACTGCAAAAATACAAAATCTTACCAATAATTTCTGACTAGTTTCCATATTGCAAATATGTTAATATATTTAATAAATTATAAGTAACTTTTCAGCAAGATGTAGGAACTTGTTCTAAGTTAATAAACCCTTAATATTCATGAAAAATGTCTAATTTTATTGGCAGATTATTTCGTATTGGGAAAATGTCTTGTTTTTAGTGAAATAATTTGCGAGTGGAACTAGTACTTTTTCATTAATATTAAGAAATTACTGACTTAAAATGAACTTCTATAGCTTGCCTAAATTTTACTTAAGTTAGTTTTGTTTCATTTCAAGTCCACAAAGATATTTGCACAAGAAACTAGACCAAAAATACTTGGTAAGATTTAGTGTTTTGCGCCTGGAGTCACCTGGAGGCGGCTCTGCAACAGTCGTACCTGGTCTGTCGAACGTAAAGATGTCTCCCTCGCACTTGGCAGCGCTTTTTGGGGTGCTGGGCTCCGAGCTGCAGCTGGAGAGACGGCGGGTCTTCCTTCTGGGGGAGCTGGGGTCCTCTGCTGCCCCGTCAAGATCTGGAGAGATCCAGCAAATTTAGACGTTTAAGAAAGAAAATGTAAAGTTTCAGTACACTGCATCTAATGGGGATCCAAATAAAAGAGAAGAAAGTAAAAGTCTTGCAGGTCCGACTCACCGGTGGAGTTGCGTCTCTTCTTGCGGTAGCTTCCCAGGATGGCTCTGGGAGAGGTGGCCAGGCTCTGCAGCGTGGGCGACGGAAGAACCTCCTCTGGGTTAAACTCTGGCAGCTCAGCAAAGCGCTCCTCGAACGACGTCTCCGACAAAACCCTGAAGATGAAAACATGGCCGCGTCATCAGCTGACAGAGATATTATCTTTAACAACAAGAATACTGCGATTTTAGTTGTTTTTACCTACTCAACCATAAACAAGCATGAACTATTTATATTGAGCAAATAAAGTCATCATATTTTTATGTTTTGTAGAAACGAGATTGTAGATGGAAAATTTCAAGTGGTTTTCATGTTTTCCTTGAAAGGCATTGAGTTGCTTATCATCCTGAACTCGATTGAAGAAAACAGAAAACCAATAAATTTGGGTTCACCGAGGTGAACTTTCAACGAGTTGATGCGGTCCTGGTTACCATGACAAGAAAAGGAACCCATAAAACTTGGACGAGATTACTTTGTGTTGCATCTTGTGAGTAGATTTTAATTGAAAAGTTAAAATCTAATTAATCTAAACTGGATCTCTTTAAGCAAAATAACATTTTTATTCACGTTTTTCTACTTTCATGTGCTTTGACTTTCAACTGCTTCTAAAATGTTCCAACGTTAAAAAAAAGTCGATGTTTTCTGGTGCCTGATGAACAAACCGTTTCAAAAACCTCCCAATTGTTAAGTCAATTGGGACACAAGCTGAGCTTCAACACATTTGGTCAGCTGGTTTTATTGCTCTATGTCCAACTCAAGGATCTGATCTGGTTAAAATATAACGGGAATCTCCTCAGAGTGTTTCCTCAATCATTCAGGGCTACTTCTGCTGTCCTTCCTCTCTCTCTCTGCTTCTTCCGGTCCTTTCCCAGCGGCCTAAATAAAGCACGTCCAGGGTGCAGCACTCTGCCCACACACACACACACACACACACACACACCACACACCACACACACACACACACACACACACACACACACACACACACACACACACACACACAGCAAACATAGCTCCCACTACGGCCTTATGAAGCTGGAAGTTGGCTGCAAAATGAGTGCTAACAGATGGGAGTCCTGCCTCATCCTCAGAATGTGTTTTATGAGCAGATTTTAAATTTTTTTATCATCCAAAATCAGCAGAAAATATGTCTGAAATCCTGTTTTTATGTGGTTATTTTCTGTTTTCAGAGCTTGTTTAAAAAGATACTCACTTGTCATGAGAGTCGGGGGTCTTTTTGAGTGGAGGGGGGCGAAACTTGGTTCTCTTGGAGGAGAAGGAGGAGGAAGAGGAGGAAGAGGAAGAGCATGAAGAGGAAGAGGAGGATGAGGAGGAGGAGGAAGAGGAGGAAGGGGTTTCTTTTTCTGCTGGTGGCGGTGGAGGCGGGTCCAGACCCGAGGACGGGGGCGGAGGAGGTGGCGGAGGAGAACGAGGTCCAGTCTGGTGGGGAACACATGGTTCAGATATTTGGATTTCCTGATAAAACTCTTAAAATTAAATCAACATAATGTTGGAAGAGACACGATTTTATGTTAGAAAGGTTTGAAAATCAAAACTTCAATTTCAGTGACTCCATTAAGAGATAGAAAATAATTATGTTTGGTAAAATTCCTTAGCAATCCTTAAAAATAAAACATTTTTTATATGATCACTTCTATAAATAATAAGGCAATTAGTAGTAATATTACTACTGCTAGTAGTAATATTATAATAATATATTGTGATATTGATTATTTTATGAACATGAAATATATTCTTAAAATAATATTAATAATAATAATAATAATGACTTAATTAATAGATAACAGTGATACATTTAAATTGCTATATTATTATTGATTTATTTAATAGATAAATAATAGTTATTAACATTATCGATGAAACTATTACATTTATTAAATATAATAGCAATAATTTAATTACTATTGCAAAATTTTGTAGCAATAATTTGCGATAATAATATCTACTAATTGTGGATTAGATTTACGTATATTAATTAATATTTTCTATTTTAATGCTAAATTAATTTATAGCTATATTAAATGATATAGGTATTAATTACCTACACTGACAAATAATAAATATAAAACATGTTAATGAGGTCACATCTTGCAGGAAGTGCTGATACCATATTTGGATTTGAAGCGTTTTCACCACATTCTCTCATGAATCTTACAACTATTTTACATTTTTTCTCCATCTGTTTATTTTTTTTCCTTGCATTTTATTCTTTTGTTTTTTTTATTCCTACAAAAAGTTGCAACATTATTTATATATTATCACTTAAAGAAATAAAAACACTTTGACTTTTGGAGGAAATTTAATTTCATTTAACTGAAACAACTTTCATGAATGCTAAGCTAGGATACAGTAAAGAAAATATTCAGCATAAAGACGTTCATAATGTTTGTTATGGCAGAATTTGCTGAACCTGTTTTTACCTCTTTGCTGTTATTCGTCGTCGCGTTGCGGTCGTCTCTGTCCATTTCTTTGGCTTCCTTCTTCACTCCGCCTCGCCCTTCGTCTGCCTCACTGTGTCGCTCCCTCTCAGTTTCATCACACATATTTTCTTCCTTGATGCTCAGGCTGATGTCTTCTTCTTTTTTCACTGGAAAAACAAAACAAATCAAATTAATTGCTGACACAGAAACAAAGAACCAACTTTTATTCTGTTTTGGTTTGTAAATGTAGAAATTTTCCAACAACCTTGCAGCCTTTGAATCTGCTTTCCACATCAGAGTGTCTGTATCATATCTGCATTGTATCATATTTCTTAAAGCAAACAAGTTTTCAGCAGAAAGGACACATAATGCTCATATCCAGGACACGTTGTGTTTTTCAGAAAAAAATGGATATTCAACTAATTATTGATTAAAATACTCCATCCATAACTTTTACATGTTCCAAACAACCTGAATGCTAATTTGAAAGCAACGTTTTGTTTTTCACACAGATTTTTTTATATTTTACTGTTTTTCAGGAATATAGTGGGCGTTTTCGCACATTGAGGACTTGCAACCTAATTCTATAACTTGTGCTCTGAGTGATTCCATGATATTATTAATTTTACAGAATGTTTTTTTTTCCTTTTTGCAGTTTGTGAACCATTTGGAACAAGGGTTGTTGCTGTTTAGTTTGACATTTTTTGTATTTTAAGGACTAAAATGATAATAATTCATAACAGTAACAAAAAAATTACAAAATCAGATGAAAGAAATTTTTTCTAAATCAGTTTGTTTCAATATAAAACTAACAAAATCTGCAGGCGTGCCTCTGTGTCTGGTGAAGTTTTGGATAAAAAAACATGTTTGTTTCTCATTCAGTGAGTAGAAAATTAAGACGAGTAAAAATACTTCATAATAAAATTACTGAAGTAAAAGTAAACAAGAACATTGTAGTAAAAATACTCCTAAAAGTATTTTTTTTCCCAAAGAAGTTACTTAAGTACATGAGTAAATATAAGTAGTTATTAAAAAACTATGCAGAAGTGAAAAACGTGTTTTGGTCCATCCCAGGTAAATCCTTGCACTGTTCTGTTTTTGATTGTAAAGGTTCATAAACTGGACTTGAGGACGTTTACCTGCTGCGCCTCCGTTTTCACAGCTGCCCATCGAGCAGCTTGGGTTGCAGCCCGACGACCCTTCGGTCTCTGAGTCCAGCTGGCTCTCCTGTTTCACCTCCACCTTCGTTCCGGTTCCCGGCTGAAAGGTCGCCACCGCCGAAGCCGGGTTAATGGCGTCCTGGGCTGGAGACGCCATGGCAGGCGGCACGGCAGCGGCCAACGGGACCACACCGGTCGCCAGAGCAACGGTTTGTGCAGGGTAGATGGCAGTTAGTACCTGAAAGGCCAAACAGGTTTAAGATTGGTGAAATACATACTGGAGGTCATGGTTGGGTTTACGAGTGGCTAGCACACAAAACTTGTGATGCTGCCTGTGTTAGAATCAGTCAGAAGTCACAGAGGCTCTTCGTACCTTTGGCTAATATCCATATATTTGTTTTATAAGCAAATTAAAAACAGCAGATCTACAGTTTTTAAATGAATGTCCAGTAGTGGACTCTGCTAAGTACAAAGAAATTTCTCCTAACCTTAAAGTACTAGAGCGCTACTCCAAAACGGTATTTAACAGAAACTAATGCTAAAGCACTGCAGCAACCTGGAAGTTCAAAAAGCTAATGCTAAAAGCGCCAACTTCAATTCAGATTATGTCTGACCTTGAACGACAATAATCCTCAAGCATCAATTTAACTTTGACATTCTGAATTGTATGGAGTATAATGTCCTTAGATATTGTATTTATGCTCATCTCTTCTCTGCTGTCTGGGTTTAATTTTCATTGTCTTTTATTCTAAATAATATAACTGAGATAAAAGGAGCGGTAGAACTGGAGCAGGAGAAACAGAACTGCTATGTAAACGTCTTCAGCCACTTCAAAATAAGAGCATGAATATAAACAACTTTATAAATTAGAGCTTTTGAATTTATCCGAGCTTGGTGCGCTAAAGCGGTACCTGACGGCCCACGGCGGTCTGGCCCGGAGGGGTCTGCGACTGAGCGCCGAGGGGCGGAGCCTGAGCCAGCAGAGGCTGGACCAGGGTCTGTCCGGGCGGGGCGATGGCGGTGAACCCCAGAGTGGCCAGGTGTGACGAGAGATAGGCCGGACCGGGAGGCTGGGCGCCCTGCTGGGGCGTCACGGTGGCAACGCCTGGGCTGGACTGGACATAGGTGATTCTAAGGGAGACAAACCGCATTAGGATCGACTGTTTGAACATTGTTTAATTCTTCTATGTTTTCGTTTAGGTTAGCAAGACTTTCCTGTAATATATAAGTTTGTCTTAATCAGCTGTTCTCTGGGATTCTAAAGGTTTTTATTTTGAGTTTGGCTGATTTTCCCACTGGTGTTCAGTAAACTAACTAAAACATAAAAGTCCACAAAGTCCAATTCAATGTATTTAAAATATATTTCAAATATAAATTTGTAAGATTTTCCAGAACCATAACAAGATAGGATAAGTATATGAGTTCAAAATGTTTATTACAATAAATGCTAAAACTTATTCTTGGATAATAAGACTCTAAGTAGATTCTGGGTATTTAGGACAAGCTAATGCTAAACCAGAAGCTAATATTAAAGCGCCACACCAACACAATCTTAGCAGCAGCTCATTGGCATTTTTTAAATCAACTGAATCTTGTATAAAAATAAAATTAGGAGAAATTGGGACTAAATACTCATAATACATAACTGGACCTGATCTGACCATATAATGGGCTGTATTGGAATATGTAGGTTTGATTTGAACTGATCCGAAACCAAGTTGCTTTTAATGTGTTGAATGTGGATTAGCCTGGATCGAGACCAGTTAAATTGTTATAAGAGTTTCAGTGAATCTGTATGTTTTACCACTATGTAGTGACTTCAGTTAGCACAGCGGTAAAAACAAGACCACCATATGCAGGCGTTTATTCTGTTTATAATGTTTGGGCTTTAACATGGCGCTCCAGTCACCTGGTGGGCGGGGAGGTCAGGAGAACGGGCTGAGGCGGGGCGGCTCCGGGAGCCATCACCGCTGCCATTGATACGGGGAAGGGGCTGCCAGGGCTGGGATGGACGTTGGTCTGCACCACGGGCATGGAGGTGAGCTGGATGATCTGGAAGGACAAACAAAGGAACAAAAATGTGAAGAACATAAAATAAATATTAATGTCTCATTGGCATAAATGTTGCATTTCAAAGAAAGTGTATGGCAAGAAGTTTTCACATAAATTTGGATGCAATACATTTTGGTTTAATTAAAATATCTCTAATTATATGCAGACTTGTATAAGTCAGATTTACCATTAAGTTATATGGAGGCTTTAATTCAAGAGAATAAATTACTGATTTTGTGAAACATCTTTCAGATATCAACAAATAAATTAGGATGAGTCATTTAGTAAATGTGAGATATGTCACTTTTTGTTCTAATTAGTCGTAATTCTGATTAAACATTTAAATGTACATTTAGAGAGGAGTTATATATTATAATTTCTACAATAATAAAGGGACAGTAGGATTAAAACAAGTTGTTGGCAAAGGTGAAGGCTCTGCAGGAAGCTAAATATGAAAGCATCTATTTATTTTATTAACATTTTTTAATACATTTTTCCACAAACAGATTTACTTGTTTCTCAGTTGAATCGTGCGGCCATTTTGTTTGTGCCTGGTCTCATAAAGACGATGCTCACCTTGTTTCCTGTCGCGGGGCCGTTCTGCACAGGAAGAGGCGGAGCCACCAGGGAGATGGAGGGCAGAGGAGGCGTGGGAACCAACACATTGCTTGGCAAAACCGATGCCTGAGTTTGGACTGAGGAAAGGGAAACGGAGAAGAGATGAGTTACCGCACTCTTTGGTGACTGAGGGCCATAAATCAGTGATGATGATGATGATGATGAAGATAGGAACCCACCAGCAGCGAGCTGAGTGCCGGCTCCGCCAATCAGAACGTTGGTCTTCTTCTCCTGTGGGAGTGAGCTGAGGGCGGCGCCGCCGTCCACCGGTTTGCTGGCGATAGCGATGGGAGCGATGGGAGCAATGGGAGCGATGGGCACGCTGGCGGTCTGTCGAACCGGCGGGGGGGCCGCCCGGACCCCGCCCAGAACCTGGCCCTGCTGATGCGGACTGGCGGAGACGCCCAACCCGCCTCCAGACACTTCCTTCTTCCTGGTACCGCCCTCTTCCTCCTCCGCACCCCACTTCCTGTTCCTGTCCTCGCCGTCGCCAGGGCCTCCGGCCTCGTCCTTCGCAGAGGAGTTGGACACAGAGGAGGAGCGATTGTCCGGGTGGACGTCCTGCTGGAGGAAAAACAAGAAGAGAGGAAGAAGTTTGTCAGCTTATAGTCCAAGTTTGGTACAAATAAGGACCAAAGCTGCAACATTTGTTACGTTTTTAGTTGCTGCTGTTCCCCTACTCGCCTGTGGGGGCGCTGCACCAAGAATCAAAACTCTGAAGAAGACACTGAGCGCAACTTCCTTCTTTGCAAAATGTAAACAAAGGGGTCAGGTTTTGGGTGATTGTCCTTGCTAAAAAGAAAAAAACAACCATAAACCGTTTCTGCCGCTAGTGCGAGATTAGCACGTTTGTTTTAGTTTAATTTACCCAGAATTCCCGGAGTAAGTAGAAATAATAGAAAGAAACACAAAAAGTAGAAAAAGGGACTATCATGAAACCTGTAATGCTAAACTTGTACGAACAGATTTACTGTAATGATGAGCTGCACCTGATCAGTTTTAGGGTTTAGGATCCATCTGCAAAAATACTAAATTCTGGCTTTGATATTCAACAACATCAACATTATAAACCAGATCCCAGCAACACTTCCACACTTTGTAAAGTCATTTTATCTGTTAAACTAGAAACATTAATATTTGTATATTTCTGGAGCGTTTTTATGCTTGTCTTGCTTTGTTGATGGATCCTCCAGCTCAGTGAAGGATTTGTTTTCATTAAATTAAAGTTATAATGTGTCGATCTTTTTGTTCTTGGGTGTTAGTAATTTCAACTGTTTATACATTTATATCTAATGTTGCATGAAACCATAGATAAATTCTTTGTTTTTGCTCACAATGAAGCTGATTCTGGTTGCAACATTCCTGATTTGACTTTTCCATATGCCTCATTCCGTTAGATTTTCACTTTTGCTACAGGTTTAAATTTGATTTAATACGCTGTGTTTACGTTTTATGTCTGTATAGACCTAAATATCCAGCATGAGGACGAGTAATCCTCCACCAACCTGTCCGTCCGGTTCGTCCTCGTCGCTGTCTGTCACTCTCTCCTTGCACTTGAGGTCAATGGAGCCTTCAGGGCACGAATCCTCTGAGGGCGGAAATGTGAGACGCTATTAACATTACAGCAAAGCAGACTCTCAGCACAAAGTGTACTTGTTATGACATGATTAAACATAAATATATAACCTTCACCAACACACATGCAGAGAAATCTGGATCAAAATGCAGAAAGAAAGTGAATTGTTGGTGGTATAGCATAAAAATTACATTTTCTTTTGTACCAAATTTCCTAAAAATGACTAAATGTTTTAAAAAATGCCTTTTATTTAAATTTCCCACCTATTAGTTGTATGAAGGAAGTGTTAGGGCTTGACTGAGTATTTTTGTTTAAATAGGAAGATAAAGTCATAATTTCAGAAGAATAAATACATAATTTTACCAGAATAATGTCTCAAAATGAGATGAATTTCTCATAAAATTGTGACTTCATTCCTCTAATATTACACTATTATTCTCGTATTATTTTGACTATTTTCTCATATTACTGCAACTGTATTCTTATAACATTATGACTTTACTTTTGTAAAGGAAACAAAGTCTTGATTTTCATGCTTCGTCACAGAACTGATCTGAATTCAAATAGAAAGCTGTTAAAAAACCAAGATGGCCACCGTGAGCGTGCCGACGTCACTCTGAAACCAAAGGAGGAGAACTTTTCTTTCTGACGGTAGTCTGGAAATGGTCATATCATCCTTCACAGATTGATAAGCAGGAACAGTTGCTGATTTTTTTAATCATGGTTTTGGTAAGATTCTTCAATTTTAAATATTTTACTTCACCAGTTTAACGTTTGAGTTTTGTTTTTGTCAAATTAACAAAGTAACTGTGAAATGTGATTAGTTTTAATTTTGTATGCATTTCTAAAGATGGCTTCTTGATACTCATTTTGTTGTTGGAGAATAAAACATGAAAACAGAGCTGGTTTTGCAGTGACTTCCTGCCTCCAAACTGCTAGTATCACCATGACCAAACTGTAATCTCTGGTCTTATTTTAGCTGCCGCAGTTAATCGTCGGCACTCACGAGACGACAGATCTGCTGGGGGTTTTTTTTCTGTCAGCGCTGACACAATCGTTCTGACTCAGAAGGCCAAATTTCCTGACCATCATGAGAAGTGAAACTATCACTTTGCGGTGACGAAGAAGCCTCTCTGCTCACTCAGCTCAGATAACTCACCCATCACGTCGTCGTCTCCTTCCTCCTCGCAGATGACCATGCGCTCCTCATCGCTGGTCACATCCTCGTTGGCACCACTGTGGTACAAAGACTGAGGCGGCGGTCGGCTTCGAAACAAGCCGGTTTCGTCCTCCTGGCAGAACAGGAGAAACAGAAAAATTGCAAAAGTACAGAATTATTTTTTTGAATATTCAGGCAAATTTTGCAAACGTAGTACTAGTTGATATGGAGATTTTTTTTTAAATTCAATTACAAGAATGTATTTTTACCCCGCTTATAATATTAGCAAAATAAAGACGTGGTGCTAACAGATGAAAGCTGTAAAATTAGAAGAAAACAGTTGCTTTCATGAAAAAAAGGAAATTTGATAGTTATGAAGGTAGTTCTTTTTTCGATCCAGACTCAGTTGTTTCCACAATCGTTTCTAAATCCTGCTGCTGAAATTTGGTGAAGTTAATGATGAAGCATTTCCTGATTTGTAAAATAGAAACCAAAGTACAACACCACAAGATCATTTATTCTCACATTATTACAAGTTTATTATATTAGTACAACTTTATTGTCACAATAGTGTGACTTTATTTTTATACCTTTTTTCTTTATTTCCATATTCCAACTATATATACATGTTACAAATTTATTTTGTATTATAATGCCTTTCTTCTCATAATATTAAGACTATGCTGACCTATTTCTCACGTTACAACAAATATTTTCATGTTATGACGCCTTTCTTCACGCATTACTTTATTTTTAAATTATGACTATTCTCATATTATTATGACTTTGTTCTCACATTATGATGCCTTTATTTTCTTGTTCTGATAACTTTATTCACATTATTTAAACTTTTTTCACATGCAACTTTATTTTTTGCAACGTTATGACTTCATTCTCACGATTCCAGAAGACAAATTACTCTCAAATGAGTTCTGTTGAAACTAAGAGTTTAATATTTGGCCATAATGAACATTACTATTATTTACTGTGTGGTGTCCTGTATCAGTGTGGACTGAACTGCCACGCAGAAAGGAAGAAGCCATTACTCTGAACGCATCATAAACAGTCAAATGTTTGAGCTTCCCTCTCTGGAGCTAACTCTGATTCCTTTTCAATGTTTTATATTTTGTTTAAAATGTTTTGTACACCATAATGGTGCAAATTTGGATTTACAATCATTGATATAAAAAAATTCAGATTACAGTTTGCAAAGACCTTTTGGAGATGCTTCCTGTGTTCGGTTTCATTTGACCAGCAGGAAAAAGGGAAACTTCCCAGCCTGAGATTACTTTCTGAAGACGGAAGTGGCAGCATCGTGTTTTACCTACTTTATGTAAAACAGGTAGCATCTCGAGGAAAGAACATTGTGTGAAAATATTGAAGCAGACCAGATGAAAAGGAAATGTATGTAAAGTTCTGCTTTTGCAACAAAAAAATAATCATTGAGAAAACAACCTAAAACAAGAAGAATTGCATAAGCGAAAAGTATTTAATTTTATTGAGTTCATGCAAGCTTATGCCTTCAACTGGGTATCAAACTCTCCATTTCAGATTAAAAGTAGGCATTAAGATCTGACATCAACACAGAAATGGAAATAAAGGCCTAGCACAAATGCCAAGACTGGCGTCTCATATTCACACCTTTTTTGTAGCAGTTACAAGATGAGCAGAAGTTTCACAACATCCCACGTAGTAGTTTTTGCTGACAAACACGCAACCAAACAACAGAAGAAATCGAATGCATGCCACAAGCTTTCAAACCTGCGTCCTGAAACAGAGAAGCCGGCTGGCCGGTCGGCCGGCGTGCGTGCATGCATGCATGTGTGCATGCGCTGCTCCCCTGTGATTTGAAGTGATGCAGCCGAGGCGAAAGCTTGAGAAGTCAAAACCTTGCACTCCCACAGAACTTTCAGTGGGTTCTGCCTGCCACACAACATGCAGGGGAGAGACCATTTTGCGTCTTTTTGATCGGTAGAGTTCAATCAAACGATTCTAAAGATGTCTGCGCTTTTATTCACACGAGCTTTGCAAGTTTATTCATCTGCAGAACTGTGCAATCAAAACAAAAACCTAAATAATAGGCCTGTCACACTAAGCAATAAATCAATTGCATGATAAATTAAAATGATCTCAATTGCCATTTGCAATTGAGATTTAAAGAGACAAAAGGCCTCTGAGACTGAAATCTCACTATCTAAGGAATAGTTTGTGTAAAATATATTCAAGGAACATTGTATAATTTATCCTTTAAGGACAAACTAATGAGAAATTGGGTTTCTTTGTTGAAAACTACCACCTAAAGACATCTGTCTTTGTGTTGTTAGATGGTTTTGCTGCATGATTCTGGTGAAAAATAGTGAAAAGGCGCCATCAAAGCATTTTGATAAGAAAGTTTCTTTGTTATTTTTCTGCCTGGGAGGCTCAGATTAACGACCTCATACCTTCTTCTCCAGCTCCCGTTGCCTCTCCCTCTGCTCCAGGGTGTGAACGGCACTTTGGGAAAAGGCTCGGGGACGGGGCTGTTGGCCCCCCGAACCCCCCCCTCGACGCTCCGATGCCCCCGGCCAGCCCGGACCTCCGCCTTTTCCCTCCAGCACCTGGGACTCCGAGAGCGCATCTGGGGAAAGAGCAGAAAGCCTCATCAGGGACAAGATCAATAAAACATTTTGAATTGTTTTTATTTATTTATGATGTTGGAAACATGTGAGATTTTCTTCTTATTGCTAATAAATTAAGATGATAGGTTTTGGATTTCATTTTAATGTTCAGAAAATTATTTTAAAAGGTAAAATTGTAGAACAATTAAAATGAATTTTTTAAGATTTTCATAAAACAATATGAAAACAACCTTTTGTGGCCAAGGTTTTTAGTCTGATTTAACTTCAGCTAGAAAAAATGTGTATTTTTATTAAGTGTATGAAAATATCTGGTTTCAACTGTGTTAGGCTTTTAATCAATTTTTAAATGGGACTTTATTACAAAACTGTGCAGTTTGAATATTAAACACTTTCCAACTGTTGGAAAAACATAATTTAAATTCCAACATTTTCAAGAACTTCAAGCCCTGTGAACTCTGTGTGAACATTTAAAATAAAAAAAATGTGTTTTTGATCTTAAAATCAGACTTGGTACCAAAATAAACCAGCTGTTGAAACGGTAGAGAAAACTAAATGAATGTGTTGCAGAGCTTTGAGAAATGGTGACTTTTGCAGACTCACCCATGCTCTCCGACATGCTCCTCTCTCGCAGCTCCTTCGGCGTCCCCCGGCCCTCGGACAGAGACTTCCTGCGGTCTTTGTTGCACCACTTCCAGTCGGGGTGGGCCTTGAAGTGAGCCTCTTTCACCTGCAGGAGAAGAAAGAACGTAAAACAGAAAATCGAACGGAAAACAGTAGAAATGTGAAAGTTCTACTTCCAAAGACTCAGATTTTATTTATTATTTAAAATATGTTGCAGAGTCTCTACCAAATATGGAAAATAAATTGTTAAATCAGTTTGTCAATTTTTAGTTTCTTTTTGCAAAATTTGGATTTTTTGCATGACGTGACATAAAGAAGGCGACCATCTTGTTTAACAAGCAGCTTTTATTTGGATTTTCAATTCAGGTCAATTCTACAACAAAAAATTGGAGCCAGGCTAGGACGTTTATTTTATTATTATAAGTCTTATTAAGTTGGAATATAAATAAATAACGGGAGAAAAAGGTTTATTATTACCAAAATATTGTGTTCAAATTTGAATCATTACCTTATCTGTTAAAACAATATAAGTTTTCCTCATTTTATTCTATGTTGCTTTCATGTATTTATAAAATTGCAACCTGGTTTTTCTAACCTTATGACTTTATTCTTACATTATTACTGTAAAACTTTATCCTGGTATTCCTATGATTCTCGTGATTGAAACGCGTTCAGGTCGTAGCCTCGCCCTGATATTCGTTCTGATGACCTGAAATCAAATTCCAATAAATAGAATCTGTCAAACAAGATGGCCGCCCCGAGCTTGCTGACATCACTATGGAGACGAAAGCTTTGGCACAAATTCTCCCCTAAAAATTCAAAATCTTCAAAAATTGATTCACAAAATGAAATCTGTAATGAATGAAGATTTTTATGCAGCCTGACTCTTTGAAGTGGGTCCGATCAGTGAGGGTTTCCATGCTAACCTGAAAGGCCAGGTCGTGGTACTGTTGCTTCTCGTTGGGGCCCAGAGCGTACCACCACTCGCCCAGGATCTTGCTGACGGTCCGGTTGTCCTGGTTGGGGTGCCGCTGGTGCACCAGCGCTCGGTGGCGTTTACTGAAGATCATGAAGGCGTTCATGGGCCGGCGGATGTAATCCTTCTCCCTCTGCGGGGATTTCAGAGGCAGAAAAACATGCCATGGTTTCCACTCATTCTGTGTTGCTTTTGGATTATCTGTGCGCCATTCATCATTAAATCATCATTGAAACCTGCGGTGCCCAGCGTCTGCCTCACCATCTCTGACCACAAATTATGACAAATATATATGTTTTGTTCTTCATTTTGCACGCGTTTTCATCAGGAACGAAATATAAAAGGTTCTTGTCAAAAACATGTTTAAAGAAAATGCAAAACAAAATATTTATATTTTTTTGGTCCTCCATAGTTGAGAAGGGCAGATGAATGGAGCTGGGAAATACCAGAGCAGGAAATACCAGAAGAAAACTAGAAATGGACGCCGCAAAAGACCCGAGAGTTGTAAAAATATTAATTTCTAGATTGAAAAAGCCCATAATAATGCACTAAATCCCAGTAAAACATACTGAAGTCAGTGAAGGTCAGTGACGGTCAGCCCGGATTACTCACCTTCCTGTCTCCGTCTTTGGGCAGAGCGCTGAGCGACTGCGTGCGTCTCTTTATGGGCCCGGCGGAGGGAGACGGGTCGTTCCCCACTCCGGGGGAAAACCTGCATCAAAAACACAGAGGAGAGGGAAACTGAAAGTCCAGCTGGAAGTGAGGGGAGATTCCTCAATCTGAGGGACTTTCAGGAAGATTAATACACCACAAAAACACAAAATATTAACCAAGTGTTTTGCACTGGTTTCTAGTGCAAATAAAAACAGAAAACAAAAACACAGCTAACATGGATGTGGGAGCTTGTTTGAACTTTAAAAAATGATTGACGTTGATGACAATGTTACTAGTTTTTTCAATGACAACAGCAGATTTTTCTTGTAAGTTAAATAATAAATGGAACTAGTTCTTTTTGTAAACATTAAGCAGTTATTGATTTAAACTAAGCTCCATTATTTTGCTGAAAAGTTACTTGTGAGTTATCTGTCTTATTTCAACTTTGTCTTTTTGCAGTGCATTGATGGGTTTTCCATATCAACACCTGGACATTTAGTAACAACAGTCAATGAACCAATTAGTATCTAATAAAACATGGCAAAACAACCTAAAGTTTAATGTTATGTTAAGCTTCAGTAAAATCTAAAAATATAAAAATGTTTAGCTCTGAATTATTTAACATTATTTCTCCCACGTTTTGCCTTTCTGCAGAAGATAACTTTATTTCAAAAGCTGAGTTTTAACACATCTTTTCGAAAATAAATGATGAAACAGATTGTGTTTTTATCCAAGAACTCAGATGGTATGTTGTGGATTTGAAAAGCGAAAATGCAGACTGGACTAGTCTTAAGGGTAAAAGTTTCAGATCTTTACCTCAAAGGTTCTGCTTTTATTCATCTTTGCACAGATAAAAGCACGATTACACCACGGATACCTCCCACTGTGAAGCACATGGAGGGATCTGAGTTCGTTTGCTGCATGCAAATGCAGCGTCATGCTCCAGAGACTTTTCTGGTGGGTCATCAAAAACCCTGAGCAAGCAGAAACACACCCTGCATACAAGAATTAAAACTACACTGGATATAAATTAATATGGTTTCAGAAAATTATCACCTCAAACGTGATAATTGTGAGGTCAAAAATGTTTAAAAACTAAAAATCACCAAAAATGTGACTTTTTTTAAGCAAGTCAAGAATAAACTAAGATTTTTCTTCTTTTTTTGTGGGAATATGATCATAGATCCAGAATTTTAAAAGAAATGTTTTTTATTTCACTGGAAAACAAAATCCTGCAAAATATTTTTGGTCTAGTTTTTAGCACAAATATTATAGCGCACTAGAAATAAGACAAAAGTAACTAAAAAGTAATTTTTCAGCATGATAGGGGAGCTGCTGTTATGCTAATAATTTTTAACATTGATTAAAAAATGCTAGTTTAGTTACAAGAAATATGTCTGTATCTTTGTTTTGTCTAATTTTAAGTGTACTCAGATATCTGCACTAAAAACTAGATTTTTTTGGTGAGAAGCAAAACTTTAAAAACCATAATAACCTGAATTCTGTTTCTACTTGACATTTGTTTTGATTATCTTAGGGAAAAATGACAAAGCAAAAGTCAGAAACCTCAGCAGAGGGATCAGCGAGTCGGTTCGCTGGAGGATTAAATGTCATCTTTATTTTGTGTACATGTTTTCACATATGGGGGCGTTTCCGTTTGTCATTTTGCTTCAACAGCTAAACAAAAACAGCAACCCTAGCAAAGCTGAACCAAAGCCCCCGAGGTCGATAAGCGTGTCGACTTTGTTTTCATCAGTGACACTTTCAAAGCGAAGCACAGGAAGGAGAAAGAGAAAAATCAGGTGTAAGACTTTTGTATTTGTTTGGGGCTGCCGGCTTCTGAGATCCCAGTGACCCTGGAACATTCATAACTGCACTACGAACCAGACAGCATGTCTGAGTCACTGTGAAAGAGAAACGAGCCAGATGCAGACACGAAGCCCGAACAAGAACGAACTGTACCGACTCCCAGCAGACAAACACTCGCAGACAAAGGCGCCGCTTCCCTTCGAGTTCTGCTGCACCTGTCGGCGGAGGCCTTGAGTTTTAAAGGCTCTCACTGCACGAAAAGCTGCATCTAATCACAGCTACTACCCACTTAGCTGTGAGTCATACACAGAGTTGCAGAGAGGAAGCGAGGGGCTTGATCAGAAACTGAGAAAATATTACCAGACGTCACGGTTTTACCTGACTTCAGAGGAAAATATTCAGGCAAGCAAGGAAAGAAATCTGTGCTCAGCTGTGGACTCAACCCAGGAGCTGAAATTTTATTAAAACTAAACCCAACCAGGGGCGGAAATTAGAACCAAATGCGGGTAAAAGTAGGAAGTGGGGTGTAAATTGAAGCAACGTAGACGCCATTGCGGCAGGTTCACAATTTGAACAGAAAAATAAAAATTATAAAAGCTGCATTCAGTTTGAACTTCAGTCCAGGGGAGGACAGACTGAGGCATTTACTGTCCATATCTGGCAGCCCTAATCTGACATAATTTAACAAAAAATTATATTAAATCTATTTTTTATCAGCCCATTGGCTGATTTTATTGACGGTAAAATGTCTGGTAGAAATCTCCTAGAACTAGTACTTTAAAAAAAATCAATATTAAGGAATAATTGACTTAAAAGAAGCTTCTTTGTAAGTTAGTTTAGTCTTATTTAAGTACTAATATAGTTGTGGACCAAACCATTTGGTAAGATTTTGTGTTTATGCTGTGAAAATGACACATAATTGCTCCACAAGACAGAAGCGTATTCATTAAATATTTTGCACAAAATCATTCTTCGATAATGAGATTTTAACTTTCAGCTGCATTAGAGCGCCTCGTCACTTTAAATCCAAATAAACTCGCACGCCAAAATGGACATAACTATGCAATCATGCATCTTTGAAAAGCAGAAGTGGAGTTGTTGTGTGCAGCAGGCTCCACACAACAAGAATGCAGAAAGTGGTTTCTGGACGGCAAGTCAACAACAAAACGGCTCTTTTCCAGCAGCCATTGGGGTTGCTAGGTAACGGTGCACTGCCCATCATTTCCAGAGACCAAAAAACTAAGTTGCTGCCAACTGGGTGGGTTTTTTGTAAAGTGTTTGGCTGTTTTTACAAGCAGTTTAGACTCAAACTGAACTATAAAAATGTGCAAAAAGTTAATTTTACAAAGTAGAACTCCTTTAATCATTTATGAATATTTCTTTCTGTGTGATTAAGAACCTGCAGCGTACTCACGGATCATCGATATCGCTCTCTGTCTCGCTGTCCGCCCCGCCCCGGTCTGCTGGGGGATTGTCATTGGTCGGGGGAGGGCGAGACGGCGACCCTCTGTCCGGCTCCGAGGGGCCCGGCCGCCCTTCGCTCACCAGGGCCACACCACAGCGAGGCTCTACAAAATAAAAGGTTTAAAATGAGTTAAAATCAGACTTCATTTAAAAACAGAACGCATTCTTCTCGACTGAATGGCCTCCCAGCCCCAGTCGTTCTTTATATGAAAACCTCAAAATACATCCACAGCTGGGCTTCAGTTTATCTCAGACGATGTGAACCATCATCTGGGCTTTCCCCAAATTCCTTACAGGCAAAGTAATCTCAATTTAAATAACGCAAAAATAAAAAAAATCTTCTGTCATTAAGGAGATAGAAACTGTTTTAGCAATCCTGACCAAAAACAGGAAAGGTGGGAGGTTTCCTTTCTTTGTAGCTTATGTAAAAATATATAATAATATAATATAATATACCTAAAATATCGGTAGGCAAGTAAATTAAACTAAAAATGGATTAAATAAAAAAATAGAAGTAAATGAAATAAAATAAATAAATAAGTAAAAAGAATACATAAAAAATTAAGTACTGAATTACATTAAAATAAAGTAAAATAAAAAACACAATACAATAACTTACAATAATTTCAACAAAAAAATAAAAAAAAATCAATAAATTAAACACAATAGTAAATAAGTTAAATTAAAAATTTACTTTAAAATTAAATAAATTAGAAATAAATAAAATAAACAAATATGTAAAATAGTAAAGAACTAAACCAAATTTAAAAATAAGATTAAAATACTTTAAAATTAAATAAGTAAATAAAATAGATTAAATTCCATTCACGTAAAACAATTTGGATTAAATTAAATAATAATTTTGAATAAGTGAATATACTTTATTGATGAAGGTCACGTCGCTACCTTTGCTCTGATTAACAAGCTGGTGGCCATCAGCCCGCTGGCCAGCCGCTCCTGATTGGCTGGAGTCCAGGAATGGGACGAGCGAATGCCAGGGGAACACTGGCACCGACCGAGGCTCCACGTTGGTCCAAACTGTGGAAAAAACAAAGAAAATAAAGGTGAAATGTGACGATGTTAGTTGTGATTTCAGAGGAAGACCATGTTCTGCCCTCTGGCTGCATGAAAAACAGACTTTCATAGAAAGGCCCTAAACAGGAAGTGCATGAATGGAGCATTCAGACACATTTCAGCCCTCGAGTCTGTATATTTTATTTAATTAAAATATACAGACTCGGGGTCATGAGGGTCGAGGGGTCATGAGGGTCGAGGGGTCATGTGGTGAGCGGCTCTGATGAGGGAACCTGTTATTTTTCAGCACTTTCTTTGATCTGGTCTGCAAAAAAATCATGCAAAGATACACAAAACAACTAATTCTTCACACTTTTACCACTTTTAAACCATCAATTATGAAAATGAGATGCTCTAGGAGGCTTTAATTTTCTTACAATGGAAAACATTAAATATGGACAGCATGAAGCAACATACTAGTCAGTTTCTATTTATTAAAACTGACTAAATATAACGCGTTTTGAAAGAAAGTAACCAAAATCCACGTATTTCTATGAATAGAGTGAATGTGCAAACTCCTCCTTAAATTTAGTATTTCTGATCAATCAATCAATCAATCAAGTTTATTTGTGCAGCAAATTTGAGCAACAAGGCAAGCTGAAGTGCTTTACTTCATAAAAACCCCAAAATACAAAGTCGTCATACAGTTTAAGAAAAGCACTAAACATTACATTTTGATGAGTCCCATGAATATCAGCATTTTATCACTTAATTTATTTAAGTTTTATTTTCATTTTCTTGGCCCTCACATACTTTTGACTAAATTAGTCCGTGTAATAAAAAGTTTAAACACCCCTGCTCTACACCTAGTAAACATTTTTACTACATGTTTCCCTGTAGAGAAATACTTTAAAACACAAGTTTGAAAGATTCATCCATCATCATGCAGCCCTAAAAGGTTCAATTTATATTAATAATCTGCTAATTAAGTATTAAAATGGTTCCAATATGGAAAATATTCCAAATGGAGCTGCATATGTAGTGAAAACGATTAATTGTGATTAATCGGTTGTTAAAATAATCGTCAACTGATTTACTTAAAATATACAGACTCAAAAAAAAGTTACTTGCTGGAAAAAAAACACATTTAGAGCCATAATTAAGCGAAGGTTGAACAAAAATCTATACATTTTGCATTGAATTGAATTGTTTATTTGCATCTTTTAACATATTTCTAATATTTTACAAAATAAGTCTAAGTGGCTAAATAAAAAGCATGAAGAATATGTCCGATTAATTGGTTAATCGTCAGAATAATTTTACACTCTGCCATTTTAAATGCTGATCCTGACGATTATTACGACTGAATCCTCTCTGTTTGCATCTTTCTGCTAGTTTTAACCCGGCTGTTTGCGGGAGGAACTTCAGATTGAGGAAGTTAACTTTATTCAAATGTTTGACCCACATAAAGCGGGTTTGTTAACGCGGGACAGAACCCCTGACGGGTCAGAGCTCATGGGAACACGAGTGGGTCAGAGGTCATATTCAGCTTCACTACAACTCGTAAACTAGAATACATTATTGACTCGTTCTGGACGTAGCTCTGCAGCTGATTCTGAATATTTCATTGCTTTTTTACTGCAGACCTCAAGGAGCTGACACTGTTTTGTTACGCAACATAAACAAACAAACTTGAGTCAGATAGCTGCAGGCTATCGGCGGCTATGATACAAAATGAGTGTAATATTTGAGAGTTAAATGGACACGAACTGGCTGACCTCTTCTTGGCTCATTTCATGTTGTTTTGTAAACACCACCAGGCAAAATGCACAGATCTGCTGTTTCAGGCCTGTCACTGCAGCAAATTTATAACACAAGGTGTTTTGATAAACTTATCGTCCAGCAATATAATGGAAATGGCATAATAATGCAAGTTGACAAAGAGAAATAAACTTTCAATTCTAATGAACATTTAACATTAGAACAGAAAATATCATCTCTGCTGTTTCTGCAGTTATAATTTAATTTATGCACATCTTCGACATTTTTTTAAATTATGCTTCTCAGTTGAACATTTCTTTAAATCAGAGTATGATATTATTGATAACTGTACAGTATTTCATGTTTTGTATGAATGAATGAATGAATGAATGAATATGCTTTATTAATCCTAGAGGGACGTTTTCATTTCAGTACAGCCAGTCCAATTTATTATTTTTTAAATCTTTTTTTTTCTTTTAAATCCTAACTGCTTGCCATATTTCTGCTCTAAGACAATAAAAATATTTATATTCTAAGCTATTCTATCAGTAGCCATGTTTCAATCATCCTCATCATCCAACTTCACCGTTTGGTTATTTTTTAGTTACAATTTACAATCTGGATGTAATTTATTGCACTAAATTAGCAATAGATGGTTTTCAAGAATACTTTAAGCCATTTCTCTTCATCTTTAATTGGACCTAATACCAATTAAAGAAGACGCTTCTTAGACAGTTTCCACCATCAATGAGAGGTGCAACAGGATTGCAGCGTTATCTGTTGTGCATATAAAACACCATCCTATCTGATATTTACACTGAAAATGCACGAGAGTCAAAATGTGACCCAACAAAAGTGCAAAATCAACACTTTTTTTACTGCTTCCTCCCACAGTTGTGGCTACACATACAGAAAATGAGCCCAAGTGTGAGCAGAGTTGGTATTTCTCCTGAGAATACACTGCAAGCAAATGTAGAAGCTTAATATAGATTAGTGCTTGATGCTCTCCCTGCTTGCATGCTGTTTACCACTTGCTTGTCTATTAATATTGTGGTTTCATATATTAGATGTATGATGAAATAAATACAAAAATAGTCATCAGAGATTACCTGGAAGACTTGTAAGCACTTATCAATGTGCTGCAGCAAAGCTAATTATCTTCAAGCGCCTCTTATAAGCTCAACCTTGGATCAACACCAAAGGTTTTCATATGTGAGACCGGATCACACTCTGGCAGTTTTCTGGTGTTAACAAGGAAGAAAATATGAATCCAATTCTCCAGAAATCATCAGAAACATTTTGGTGTTAAACCATTTTCACACTAGTAACACACATTAGCACCTGCTAACAGCTAAGAACTGCTCACACCTCATATTTCAACTGTGTACAAAAATATGAGACTCAAATTCTGTGATTTTACTTCTTGAAACTCGCAAACAGAGTTTAAACTAGAAAAGAGCTAATATCTGCTAATACTTGGTATCCTAGAAAATCTGCTAGAGTCCTTGAGGAATTTAAAATCTGACGGCCCAATTTGTTCTTGTTCTTGCTGCAGAGTCAAAAGTATTTCTTGGCCTTATACACCAGTGTCTGGCTTTCAAGTGGAAAGTGTTTTATTAGTTTTATCTATTGTAAAATAATGGCTCCTGAACTTTTGAAAAATGTTAACATTTTGACAGTAACACGTTGCAGACTAAACATGACTCTTCAATGTCAAAAATTGAGGTGGCAACTCACTTTCAGTTCCACTGTTTTACTTCCACCCTTCAGTCATAAATAAAAATCAACAATATCTTGGTCATTACTGAATGACAAAGTTCCCAGAAAATAACATTTAAGTAGTGTTAAAGGTGAAGTTCTGACCATGTGATAAACAAGTTATATAAAACATGATCTGTACGCTTTGAAAAGCAGAAGTAGAGCCTTCTGCACAACCAACAATGATGCAGCAAGGGGTTTCTCAATGGTATATCAACAACAAAACAACCGTCTTTTCAAGCAGCCATTAACCAACTGACCAAACATGCTGGAATTCCACTGGGGTTGCTAGCTATCAGATCACTGCCATTACCTAGAAGTGTCTTTTTTTCAGTCACCAAAAACTTTAACTTATTGCTAAAAGAAGTAGGGCGCCTTGGGCGTGCTGACATCACTCTGAAGTAAGCAAGGGCCATTTGAGGGCCTTTGTAGGTACAAAAAAAAAGAACAAGAGCACATGTCCTCCAAAAATTTTAAGATTAATCTCAGAAATATTCTGTTAAAAAAACATGTGAATTTCTTAGTTTCAAGTTGAATATTTTTGACTTCTGAGACTGTAAAAATATCAAAAAGTCTATTGAAACTCAGAAAATTAAAAGAAAATCTTGAAGAATTCTGAGATTAATCCAAACATTTTGCAGTATTTTTCCAGCAAAATTTTGACTTTCAACTAATAAATTAAAAAGAATAAAATTCTTCAGATTCATCTCAAAATGTCTGTTTTTTTTCTGCCAAATGTTAAATTTTTCAAGCTCAGAAATTTCATTTTTTCATGAACATTTCTGAGCTTAATTTCACAATTCCAGAGGTTTTTGGCATAAACGTACTCTTTTTCATTGTTCTGTCTACAGTTCTACAGTTGTCCATTGGGAAAAAAATGGACAAAAACATATTCTCCAAAAATTAAATCTTCACAAACCAAAAACAAGATTATTTGCTAAAATTGATTTATCACCGTATTGTCTGGGAAACATCAATCTGAGTCCTTAATCTGTAATCAATGTGTTTAAACTTAAATAAATAAATTCGTTCATCAGCTACATGCTAATGTATTCAATGTGTGCTGCGTTTTCTCGCAGCATCTGAGAGCAGTGATGAAACTTATGCTGCCAATGCAGCTGCAGAGGCGCTGGGTTATATTTAGTCGCGCTGCCTGGAGCCTCTGCAGCCTTTAGGCGCCGTTTTCGTTTTCTTTTTTAAAAATGCATGGCAAAGAAAGTACTACACTGGAGAGGCAGGTGGCCATTAGTGGCAGTGCGAAGGACGTGACAAGCAGGCAGAAAGAGAAAAGTGCACGGCTGTAATCAGCTCGGACAATTTACCGGACCGGCGGAGCGCCGTATCCATGACAACACGTCGGCGATGCGATTACCCCCCTGAAGCGAATTCGCATCAAGTGGCCTTAATGCTCCACCTGAGCCTGTTTGATTGTCTGAGGACAGAAACAGGACTGTGTCTCGCAGAGGAGTGGAGGACATGTCCAGACATATCAACACTTCCAGTGATGTTTCTCTTATCTCTCACAAACACGCGTGTAAATGACAGAAACAAGCACTACATGCACTGAGTCACACTTTACACGCAGCCAGCAGCAGGTTTGGGATGTTGCCAGAGCAGCTCATTATAAAAGCTGTTGATATTCACACCTCAGCGCGGAAACGCAGCTTCATTTTAAAGTTAAGAGATTATTTAACATCAGGAGGTGAAATGTAAAAGGATGTCATTTTACTTTGCACCTCTACAAACTCCTCAAATGTCAGCATGAAGCGACCGGATTTCCGACGTCGGGTCATTTTTAAAACGGAAAAAATCACAGTTACATTTCCAGCGCTTGCACATGCTGTCATATTCACAAAGTTGGCATGGAAACAGGCACAGAGAACACGATGAACCCAAGCACCTGAACTCCTCCGAGCACATTTTCTTTCATGCAAACGTCTGATCCCAGATATGCAGTACAGTTACACCCCAGGACACACAGCTAAGCACCTGCAAACACAAAGGAGCAGCTACTGGAAGAAGAAAGTAAGTACACCCTTAAACTTATGCTGAAAACACCCACAAATCAACAGTTTGAGGAGGTAGAGCTGGGTGATATTCAACAAAAGATAAATAAATGATTCTTTCAGAAATTATTAATCAGACTACTGAAATAATCATTAACTAATTTAGTAATTGATTAGTCGCCATACAGAGGTAATTTACTGAGAGAACAACATTCTCAGAGATGTAATTTTATGAATTTCTAAACCAAAATAAGTACGTTTAAGTGGTTAAATGAAAAATGTGTTGAATGGTGATCACACCTGGACACAATCAGTTAATCAATGCAGTTCTTATTAAATCCTGTCGTACAGGCAAGGGTGTACTTAGTTTTTTCAACACACAGCTTCTCAATTTTAGTCAAATTGATGAAAACAATCTTTTGTGTATTTTGTTTTTTACACTTCATGTTAAATTTAAATAATGTTTAGAACCTACAAATTAACTCCTACTTTGACTCTCAAACAGACGCTCTGGCATTTCCCATCTACTTGACACAATCGAATGTTTCCTGCTAGCAAATTTTAGAAATGTACCTTTAATAAAATTGCATAAATTACGTAAAATTGACTCCAGTTGGGAATTGGCAACAACTCTGTGTTTCAAAGAGGCGTGAACGTAAAAGCGTTCCTTTCCCCTGAGTTCACAGCTGAAGCTCCGGCCAAAACAGGAATTTTTTTCCCCTCAGAGAAAAATTTAGCATTTCTAAGACAGCAGTTTGCAGCCGACTGGAGTGGATAAAGTTTCCTCTCAGTTGAAAACTGAGGGACAGAAAAGCGTTTTCTAAAATGTTACGCTACCAGCAGCTGTAAACCGTCCATGAGTCATAACCAAAGCACTCTGATGACACGGCTGTAAACCCAGAGGGATAAAGAAACCGAGAGGAGCGCAGTAAAACCAAGCGTGGCTCAGCAGATTTCTGCCTCTGACATAAACAAAAGGTCAAACCCACAGGTGTCGTCTGGCCGCCACGCCCTCCGCCTGCCTTACCTGTGCCCGGGCGGCCCATGATGATCTGCTTGCGCGGCGTCGGGTGCGGCGACTCAGCTGGCAGTATGAGCGGCAGCAGGGCGGTCGGCGTGGGGTGGCAGGCCACCGGCTGCGGCAGCGGACCGCCCGAGGAGTCCTGGTAGCCTTCGGGTTTCCGGTCCCGGCCGCCAGGACCGGACGAGGACAGAGCGGAGCCCGACAGGGCGGAAACGGAGGATCCGGACAGCGCGGCGTGACCTCCTGTGACTGGGGTCAACGACTGCGGAGAGACATTGGAAAGACGTTGAATCTGTTTGGTTTGTAAGACTCAACATCCGGCAAACAGCAGTCTTTGCAACTGAACACTGAAGTGTAACACAAATTAAATGTATACACCATCTTAATCTAAATGATGATATAGATAAAAGTCGGTAAAATACACAAATAAAGTTGTAATAAGATGAATAAAATTGTAATTTTACTAGAGTAAAGTCAGAAAAATATGATAATAAAGTTGTACTAATAACAGAATAACGACTTAACAAGAGTACGTTGTAATACTATGAGAATAACGTCATAAAAATACAACAAGGTCATAATATTACATGAATAATTTCAGAATAATATGACATCACTCATCGCATAAACTTTATTTTTTAGAATAAGAATAAAGAAATAATACCAGAATATTATTTGGATAATATGAGAAGTTGTAATATTACAATAATAAAGTTGTAATAATATGAGAAAAAAAGCTGAAATAATACAAAAATAGCATTAAAATATTTCCAGAATAAGGTCAGAATAATACAAGAACAAAGTTATAGTAGTACGACAATAAAGTTGTACTGGGCAATTTTATTCTTCTGTTGATTAGACCTTTATTATCATAATTAACTTTTTTATTTTCTTAGCCTGGCTCTAATACTCCATCGCAACAGGAAGTGAACTAAAAAAATTCTGAAGCATTTAAACGTTGCTAAAAAGCAGAAACGATAAATCTGAAATAGAAATATTTCACAGCACAACCTAACATAAAAACCCATCATAAATATTAAAACATCTGCATAAAAAACACCTTTGACTCTAAAGGTATACTTACAGAACTGGAGGTGACCAGGACCAGGGTGGACGCAGGGTTCCTCAGGAGGACCGCCGGATTGGTGGTGGCCCCGTTGATGGGGACCGGGGCCTGCAGGCCTGGGGGAGCGGAGTGCTGCGGCTGGTTCTTCTCCCTCATCTGGTTTCTTTCTCTTTTTACTAATGGACCATCTGAGAACTTCGCCAAGGGCACGTCTGGGTTGCGGACGATGACTGGGGAGTCGCGAAGGGGTACTATGCGGCGTGGGGAGGGCTCCTGGGGTAATGGGGAAGGAGGCGTTGGAGACACGAGCATGGGTGGAGGCGTAGAGGCAGCGGAGGATGATGGCCTGCTGGTGGCGCTGCGAGGGCGTGAAAAGGAAAGCGAGGAAGGTGTTGTGGGCTGACTGTGGGGGGAGAGGACTCTGAAAGCAGCTGGGTCTCCAGCCATACTGCCCCCTGCGCCCATCAGCTGCTGCTGGTCCGATTTATTTTGGTAGTCCTGGACTAAATGTAGAGGAGGGGGAGGGTGGGTCTCAGGCCTTCTCTTGCTGGGGCTCATAGGGACTGTAAAGGTGAGATTGGTCTGTATGGAGGGTACAATTCCTGACAGGTGGCGCTCTCGTTCAGAGCCTGGTGTACCCATCTTGGTGCCACTGAGCTGCCGAGGACGGCGTGGATTAAGTGAAGGCGGGGCAGTGATTGGACTAAAAGTGGCAGGGCGGAAGCCGAAGAGAGGCGACGGGGAGGGTGACGGGGTTGGTGAGAATGGAGACTGATTGGAAATGGGAGAGAATGAAGGCGTGACAGAGCGGGAACCTCCCAGAGAAACCAGCATGGTTGCTGCCTCGCACTCATCAAAGTCAAAACGAGACAAGTCCTGGGGAAGCAGGGATGGCAGCACCAAGCGGGGACGGGAGTCTCCTCCACGGCTGCTGGCTTCACTGCTTTCCATTGAAGTCTCATCCCAGTCAAACTCTGAGCTGGCTCTCCCACTGCCCAGTCGGAGGTCGGACGGCGTTAGAGTCCCGGTGCTGCTGGCTCCACTGCGCTCCCGGCCGCCTCCGCTGGCCTCCATCTCCTTGGTCCTCATTGAAAGGTGTCTGGAACAGTATCCTCGACGTTGAGACTCTTTGGAGCAGCCCTCCCGAGAACACAACCTCCTCCACTGCTTCCCGTTGAACTTCTTCCGGATGCCCGTTGGTGTGCACACCACATCTCCCTTCTTGTACTTTTGCTGGGCGGCTGTGAGGGGAGTGCGGGAACGGTTTGCAGAGGAAGAGTTTGAACCCGACACTGGTCCTCCTCCGCCACCGGCTGATCCTCCTCCAGAAGTCTTCTCTGCTCTGGAGGATGCAGAGGAGGAGATGGGAGGCAAAGGAGGCAGCTGGCGGGCAGTAATGACAGCACCAGCTGCGGCATTTGTTGAGTCAAGGCCTAAGAGGACATTCGATGGATTAGGGTGGGGATTGAGGGCCAGGTGTGTGGAAGGAATCCCAATGCCCCGCACAACAGGCAGGTGGGAATTGAGGTAGCCAGACGGGGGCTTTGAGACAATCTGGTGGTGAACTGGTCTTGATTTGGTCCCAGATATGATTGCCCCCAGTGGGATCATGTTGAAGTGGGACACCTCCATGTCTTCTTCAGGGGTGAGTGGCATATATGGGTGGTGTTGTTGCTGCTTTGCATTATTCTCCCTTTCTCTGTCTCTCTCCTGTTTCCTCAAACGCTCTCTCTCCCTTTCCTGGTTTTTCTCAATTTCCCATTCTCGAGTAACTGGCGAGGAGACAGTGATAATACCCGGGTACGATATTTCCCTCCCAAACATCGAACCCATGCCAGTGTTCATTCCTTGGCTGAGGTTACACACCTCCTGTTCCACATCTATATCTTCCCTTTCTTCATGTTTTTTATCCTTTTCTCTGATGGCCTCGTCTCCTCCGTGGCCACCGCAAGATGGCAAATCTAGGTCCCACGGTGGCACCAGAAGACGGAGTGTTTGCCGAGAGACCCATACAGCATGGGTAGCACCTCTGCTATCTTCTACATCCAGAGAATGAAGCCTTCCCTCAGATAATAGGACACGGTAACGGTTGGCCACAGCAGGATGTGTGTCCACCTCAGTCACCACGCCTTCTCTGTACCACTGCAACTGGCCCTCATTTCTGTCTTCATCACCAAATGGTACACAGACACGGGTGCCAACGGGTATTGTATGGACACCAGGTGGAGGTGCATCTAAAATAATTTCTACCACCCCTGGAGGGCTATCATGGCGGTAAGGATAACTGCACATCGTCTTTTCGCCGTTCAGTTGCACCTCCAAACAACCGAATTCGCCGCTGACCTTACGCACCACCCCAGCCCGGAACACAAATTCTGAACTCCTCCCTTTGTCTCTCATTTCACCCTCTACTTCCTCAGATTTGTGCCTCCAGGGCTGGCGGGCGAGGACACGCTGGTTTTTCAGTCCTTTAGCCAGTGTGTCTGAAAGGGTGTCGGATAGGCTGGGCGCAGAATGAGGCGCAGAATGAGACGCAGAATGTGCGATGGCCGGCATGTCACCGACCACTTCCAGGTCAGCAGAGTGTTCGCTGGCAGTGTCTGTTGAAGAACATCTGGGCAGGGGACTGGGGGAAACTCGCTCTTCATTTCTTCCGGGCCTTTCCATTGCAAGAGACAGTGTGGGAGGTCCTGGGGATTCTTGGGAATTCTCCCTGCCAGTTGCTCCACTGGGAAAGTTGTCCAGCAGATTCCCACTCTGACTGTTGCTGTCAGAATAAGAGATATTGACTTCAACTCCTGAACCCGCTGACCCCCGGTTGAGGACCCCACCACTTGGAGGAGGGGGTGTAGAGGATGGACGGTCGCTATGGTTGCTGGCAGTAGCTGTTGAGCAGTGCTCAGAAGTGTACTTCTTCTTGGGAACACGCGCCTTGAAAGTGGCGGTTTTCCGACTGGAGGCGGGATTCGGACTGTTGTTGGCACTCGGCGTGCTGCTGTTGCTGCAGCTGCTGCCGCCACTGTCACAGTGGCTACTGCTGCCGCTTAGCGCCGACCTCCCGGACCTTTCATCAGAGGATGTCAGCAGCTTCCCTGAATCCATCAAAACCGAAGTCTCGGACATTCCCTCCCCATCCGAAGCGTCCCGCGTTGTCACTAGGCCGGCCTGAGAGGAGTCTGAGTGGGAACTGGAGGAGAAAGACGAGGAGAGAGTTCGGTTTTGAGGGGATCCGCTTTCATCTCTGTTCTCATCTGAATCTCTCTTCTCTCCGCCATCTGAGGTCTCCCCGACTCCGCGGCGCTTCCCGCCTTTGGTCCGATTGGATTGAGGGGAGCGCCGACCTTGCTTCTTTATCGGCTTCATCTTTTTTTTTTATCTTGCTGGCCTTTTCTCCAAACAAATCTTTTTATTTATTTATCCCAGAGTATCTCCTTGGCGTTCCCGTTTGCGTTTTATCTGTCTACTTCTCTCCTCTGTCGGGGCCTGTTTTTCTCATTCTGTCTTGCCTTTGGTTGTGCGACCCTGGCACTTGCTCACCTCACTTGTCAAGGACTCTGTGAGAAAGAAAAAGAAAAAACAGAAAGCGTGGGTTACTCATCTGGCATTTACACAAGCCTAAACACTGCACACAATATGGAAAGATGAGTTAAAGCGAAAGGTTTCTGAAAAGTGCCACCACGATAAAATCTGGATACAAACCGTAACCAGTCATTTTAAGAGGCAAATTTCCAGCCGAATGGTGTGCAGAGCATATTCATTACACTTTAACTCATTACATAACAAGTCCTACTCACATTACACAAAGCCTGCATCCACTGCAGGTACACAAAGAAAACAGGAGACGATATTGTAGGGTAAACACAATACAGTCTTACAACGCAGCATGGAAATAGTGAGTTTTGCCCAGACAAGCCTCTTTGCATGCACTCCTTACTCACACACTATTTCTTGGCTGGGGCAGTAGAGGCGGGGGAATTCCTCCTGCGCTCACATTCTGAAACCCTCCCTTTCTCTCTCTCTCTCTCCGAGGCGACCTTTATCTGTGTATTTCAACGCGGAGTCAATCCGCCCCTACGAACTCTATTTCCTGTGGAAGACCATTACCTAACTTCCCGTTACTTTATTCCTCCCTCTCTCTTTGCTACTATTATACTCCGTCGTTCCTCCAATATTGATTTCTGCTCTCGTCTCCATTTTCTTTCTATGCCGCAATCATCCAGAAAAGCAGAATAATTGTAAAGTCACGCAGGAGTCATTCAGAGAATCTCTCATTCACAGCTTTAGAAAGAGAGCAGATTAATGAGAAATGATTTATCAGATTAATCGTGAACTGGAGTACACAGACTCAAAAGAAGCATTTCCTAAATAAAACAACATATTCAAAGCAGTAATAAACCCCAAAACTTTACAAAAATATATGCATTTAAGATATAAAGTTTGTCTGCAAATATCTTCTACCCAAAACTCCTCAAGTGTTTTGGGTGGTTTCAGTTTCACACGTTTCAGATTCACTAGAGGAATGATGTTATTGCATTTTAGGCAATAACAAATTAACTGAATTATTTGTTTATTTTCATCTTTTATTGCTTTTCTGTTATTGGATAAAAAGATGCAAGTGATTCAATAAAAAATCTGTAGAGTGTGCCATTTTTCAAGCCAATTTTGTAATCGATTAATCATTAACCAGAAAATACAAACTCAAAAAGAGCCATTTACTAAAAAAAACCCCAACATATTCAGAGCAGTAATAAACCCCAAAATATATACCTTTTGCATTTAAAATAAAAAAATTAATTGAATTTCATTTCTATGATTGGATAAAAAACATCTTAAGTGGTTAAAGCCAAACAATCTGTAAAATGTGCCATTTTTCAAAGCTAATGTTATTAATCGTTAACAAGAACATGCTGACTTTTGCTGAAAGAACACAGTACTTTAGCAAACTAAGTCAAAGTTGTACTAAAGATGTTCATTTAAGACTTATAAAAAAGCATTCTTCATCTTTATGAGCATAACTGATTAATCAGATACTAAAACAATCCTACATGGCAGCGCAATTGATTCTGACACCTTGCAGAACTGTTTGCTTGCAGGATTCAGGTCAAGGATGCTGTGTGTGTTTCAGTCTCCATGGAGCTGGAAATATGTTAACAGCATGTACTCAAAGAGAGGGAATAAAGCCGCCCTTTAAGCCCCGTCATCTCCACCAAACTCCTGCTGCGATTTTCGGCTGTCAAAATCTTCTGTCTTGACGTCTATCAACCACCAACATGCGTGCCAACTTGTCAGCTGTCTGTTAACTTAAATGTCTCTCCTACCTCGTTCTCATCTCTGCTCCCTTTTCACAGCCTGTTTTATCGTCTGATGCTGAAGTTCGACTCACAGCCTTTTAATGTCTGCTGCATCACCCTGGCAGTGATAGTGGACAGTGAGCTCACTGCCATCGCCGCACTCTATGTAAATCCCAATTAGGGGAAAGCGGCCGTCATGACATAATTTGGCAGCTGGCCTTACTTGGTCACGATAGAGTTATGCCGCATGTGTTTACTCAGTAGTGCTCAGAGTACAACAGCTGGTGTCAGAGCCATGAGCTGAATGATAACAACTTAAAGGTGCGCTGATGCAACCAGCTGAACCGGGATGAAATTATGCAGCGGGGGAGCGAGAGGTAACAAGTCCAATTGGTTTTAATTTGGAGGATTTCCATGACCTGACATGACAAGCTGGGTGAATTATTTAGGGAAAGTATTCATATCTGTACTTAAAGCAGCAGTGGGTAACTTTTGTTAAGAATATGTTTACATATTTGTTAAAATTGTCACCATTTCCAGTCAAATAATCTGTGAAAAGATAGATATAGTCCAACACTCTAACAAAAACAACCAACCAATCAGAACCAGGAGGAGGGTCTTAGCGCTGTCAATCAACACCTGTACAGGCTGTTAAGTGTGCCAATGGCAAAGAAACAACTTACCATTTATCTGCTGTCATCAGTGGCCATGCTAACTAGCCTTAGCATTCACAATCGACGATGGTAACTGTTGCATACCAGAGCGCAAGGAGATTTGATTGACAGCACTAAGACCCGCCTCCTAGCTCTGATTGGTTGTTTCAACTTAGCACTGATTATCTGTCTCATGACATACTGTCAGTGAAATGTTCACAAAAAATGTTACAAATATCTTTTTATAAAAGTTACATCACACAGCTTTAGATAAAAGTATGAATAAATGACAAAAAATTTACTCTAGTGAAAGTAAAAATACTACATTAACATTTTACTTGAATAAAAAGAAGCACTAACTTTTAGAAATACTTAAAGTTTTGAATGGAAAAGTAATTTCTGAATTTAGTCACTAATATCTGGAATATCATTGAGTTTGTCTATTGTATGTATATTTTCTTTAATTCAGCTGTTTTAATGAACAATGCTGCAGATAATGCATGTTTTTATTCTGTTTACAGCAATAATTTGATTTTATTGAGCTGTCTGACATACACACACAGTGCAACTTCGCCTCTGTTTATGAGTAATTAGTGGAAGAAGTCAAATTACATTGTTGATATTGAGTAATTTGTGGGTGTAGCAGCTTTTAACAACATTTTGCTAAGATTTGACAGTAAAAAAGCTACAAAATGAATAAGAAAAACCTTTTAAACCTGTAAAGTCTTTGTTTTGACCTAAATGTTCAGATTTAGCAGCTGTGCATATCAAAACGGATATGCATACATGCATGTAAACATCCTGGGTTGACCATGCAAGAAGGTCCAGGCAAGAAAGGGAAAAAACAGGCAAAATCTGGAAAAATAAATATTTATTTAGTTCTGATGTTTGTCTTGGTCTCCATTTTGTCCAGGATATCCTTCTGGATTGGGAATCAATTATATTGAACAATAGAAAAAGAGATCAAAATGCGTCTTTATGACTGACGTAACAAACTGATTCCTTCCTCAGTCGTTTGTTGTGTTTGTAAACACAACGCCACTACGCCTCTCCAGTTCAGGTGTGCAGTTAAGCTCATCTGATTCACAGGCCAGTCACGCAGCTTAACAAACAAAAACATTCTTCTGGACGGAAAAAGCAGCACTTTTTTTTTTTTTATGAAACCTTAAGAAGTCTACAAAACTAGAGAAGATTAACTTTTTATTCTTCACCTGAAACCAGTTTGCATTATTTTGATGTAAAAACACTAAGAGTTCCTTTATACCTTTTCAAAGGTTTGATGTTTTCTGCTTGTTAATTTGAGGAAAAATTGACAGACAGTGAGCAGCAACAGGTGGGGGAGGGGCTTATGAACCAGAGAAAACTACTCATCCAAACTCTGAACTATATGAACCATGTATTGTGTCATTTTGCCATTCCTGACATGGAAACAGTTGAAAACCTTGACATTTCTACTGTTCTCATCTTTCTTCAGTGCAAACCAGCTTTTAAATAAAATGTTATGGGTTGAGTTTGAAAATTTAGATAATGAGAACAAATTGTGTCCATTACACTTGTTGATGGTTCCAACGCTGTGTGTTGCTGGTAGACACAACAGTAGTTCATCTCTCTAGAGGCTATTTAAGCTCCTCTGATTCATAGGTCAGAGATTTGTAGCTTAAAGAAAAACATAAGGCAGCAAATTTCCAAATAAAACTTTCAGACAGGGTGGAAAATCACCAATCACCTCTCGTTTTCATTTTATTATGCGTATTCATTTGAAACTTTCTCACTTTTGAATCCAATCCACTCATAATGTGGATATTTTACATTTCTTTAATTGCTCCACATTTCTTTTCAGTTTAACACAGAGCTGCGACTGAGCAGTTCACAGCAGGCCGGGGCGTGTAAACAAATGCACCATCATAATCCAGAGATAACAGCTGCTAACTTCATCTCGACAAGGCCCAGAGAATGCAAACAACAAGCGGGGATGTCGTCACCTCTGCTTCAAGCTGGTAGTACGGTGTCAACCTCGTAGTACCGCAGTTACTACCAGTTTTACTCCATGAGAGCCGCAGGCCGAGGCGTGCAGCGACCAGGCCGCAGCCACGGCGCTCCACAATCAGGCCGCTCAGAGGTCCTCTGCTCGGTAAATAACTGGGTTAACGGGGGATTCTGACCCCACCGTGGCCTGTCGAGCTACCGAAACGGCCCCTGGGGGATTCAATAATACAACAAAGTGAAGAAAAGCGGAAAAAGTCGATGGCTTAAAGCTGTCAAGCTGAGTTTGTGCTGAACAGCGAGGGAGAAAGTGTCAATAAGCTGGAGGAAGGCCCACAAACAGAGGGAAATCAATAGTGTCAGCCGCCTTAAAGCACACAAAACAGGAAGAAAATGTGTCACTAAGAATGAAGGGGTGGACATTATTTCTGGGAAGTCCACATTCACTTTTAATGGCGTTGTTTTTATTTCTCCGGGAAAGTTTTTGACGTCCAGCCGCACCGCTCCCCTTTTTTTCCTCCCGGCTAACTCTGTTTATAACCACAGTAAACATGAACGTTACGGTGTGGGGAAAAAGGCACAACAAGCCCCTCTGCAGTGCTGCGGGAGGAGATTTGTAGGCAAGCTTGTACTCACCGGAGATAATACAGATGCCCCTCTGAATCCCCCCTCACAGGATGCTCCTCCGCCGGGTGAAGTAGGGCACGGTGGTCCGCCGCTGCCCGTCAGCGGCCGCTCATCTTTGTCCGGCAAAGCAACTTAAAAGGAGCAGTAACTCCTGTCCTGGACATTCTACACTACAGTCGCAAAATGGTGAATGAAGACCCGGAGACTTGACAACCAGCCCGGCCGGCCAATGGCGCAGCGAGAAGGAGTACAGTGGCCAATAAAACAGCGCTAAAACGGAGAAAGGGCGGGGCTTCGTGGCGAAGTAAATGTGACGGACGGGACGTCTCAACCAATAGGAGTGTGGGAAAACAGAACAGCTGTTGGAAGATCGAAGCTGCGGACCAATAGGAGAGCTGCGATTCTGATCAGGAACGCAGAGCAGGAAAAGAGGCTTCTTTTCTCTTTTGTAAATCACCTCTTTACTTCTATAGATACATTTCTATAGATACATTTTGACGAGTTTCGCCAGTATGAATCAACTAGAATCCCCAAACATTCATCAAACTATTATGTCCGAAACCGATCAAGATGTCATTCATTTAGATCGTGATTTTACATGAGTAAGTTTTATAAACTCCCGGTGTTATATAGCAGTTGGTCTGCAAGTTCAGCGTGGTCACCATGATCCACAGGTGGAGTGTAGTTTCACCAAGATCCACAAAAAACATCAACTCCCAAATTCTCCTGCTCCGTCTGTCCTTATCCCCTCCTTGCAGCCAACCAGCGCAAGCCCTAAACAGGACGGAATCCCATCGTCCCGCCCCACGGCCAATCAGAGCTGCCGCCGGAGACCGTACGTCACCGGAGTGGCGTGTGATTGGTTAGGAGGATACATGTCTGCAGGCCAATGAGCGTGTGTTGTGGTGAGGTCATTAAACTTGTTGCTATCAGCTTAACCAAACAGCGGAGAGTAGTATGGCAAGTCCACTTATCATATTATATTAAGGCTCAGAAGCTGACGTCCACAATTCAAATGATATCATACTTAAACTTTGAGCTTTGTAGTAACTAGTTACATAAGATAAGACAAAATAAGATTATTTTATTTGTTGGTGTTCCACGTTAGCTGAGCTAATGTTTATGATTAGTGTTTTCGGGTTACCTAACTTTTTAGCTATCAGTGCCGGCCACTGGTGAGACTTTATTAAAAACAAACACCAATGCCAGGATGACTTAAATTTCCTAGAAGGTGTAAACAGAACAGCAGAAATCAAAGTGATGTTTAAACTCACCTGGAGTTAGCATTAGCATCTACTATTAACTAGAAATTTGGAAAAGCAGAATTTTCAGAAGTTATGCGATTGTTTATTATCTGTTTCTTTTGCCACTTAGGAACCATTTTTGAATAAAAACAGTTTTAGTCATTATGTCTAGTAGTTTTACCAAACTGGACTTGCTGTCCTGAATTATGATTGGTGTGTAAAGCTATAATGGAAAAGCTGTTAACTCAGCAGCACTCATTTAGAGACTGTAATGGCAGCCATTACAGTTTTCTAAAAACAAGTGATTACTCGCTTATTTATTATATAACTCAGATTATATAAGTATATTGTACGGTGTACATTAGGAAGGAATTGGTAATTATTCTGATTCTGTGCATCTGATTATTTGAAATTGTCATTATTACTTTTATTTTTATTATGGGCTGGTGAATTTTCTTGCTGTTATGACAGTTTGTAATCATTTTGTTGAATATAATATACATTATTTGCAGGTTCTGTAGCACAATGCACCATGTTCCAAATTATTATGCAAGTGATATTTTCTCAGATTTTCCGAAATGGTCAATGCAAATGATGGTCAGTATAATTTCTAAGTTATTGACTATTGCAGTATAAATCAAATGTCACTGAACAAAGCTCCCCATGCAACAGTATTGTTTTCAAAAATAAAAACTGAAAATGCTCTGTTCCAAATTATTATGCACAGAAGATTTTCTAAACATTTTATGGATTATAAAGAACTGCAAACGGTCATTCTTTGAATGTGCAGCAGGTCACATGTACTAAAATCAAAAGCTATTTCAATCCAAAACATCTTAACAGACAGAGTTATATGTTAACATGGGACCTTCTTTGACATCACCTGCACGATTCCTGATCCATTGAACTTGTGAGTTTGTGGAAAGATTCGGCTTGAATTTCTTTGCAGGATGTTAGAAAACCTTCCCAGAGCTGCTGCATTAAACCCTCAGATCTTCTGCTTGAGGAAACTCCACAGGTTCTCTATAGGGTCAGAGGTCAGAGGAGGATGGTGACACTCCATGAGTTTCTCCCCTTTATGACGATAGCAGCCAGTGACACAGTGTCAGTCCTTGCAGCATTCATTGACATGCATGATTCTGTCTAACAGAATCGGCTCTTCTTTTCAAACCATGACAGAAAGTGATCAGTCAGAAAGTCCATATTCTTTGCTGAGGTCATTTTCTCACCTTCAGGACTCTGAAGAGGTCGACCAGCTCTCTCTCTCTCTCCCCATGATTTGGGCCCACAGCATGACTCCACCACCTCCTTGCTGACGTCACAGCCGTGTTGGGACGTGGTGTCGGTCCATCTCCGTCCTCTACTGCGTCCATCTGGACCATCCAGGGCTGCACAGCCGTCATCAGTGAGCAGGTCTGCCTGAACATGAATCTTCATGTCCGGCTGGGTCCACTGGACCGGTTCTGCTTGTAAACTCTGGAAAAGTTTCACATCAACATTATGGATTGTTTACTGTATCGTTTATCATTTACTGTAAGGAATTTCTTGTCATGATAAAAATTATCGATTTATTTTTGATAAATTCTAATTAATATTTGAAACGCCCCAAAACTATTTGTTTTGTCATGCAGGTCACCAAACTTTTAGCATTTTTAATTATGATTGCAAAAAGTATTTTTAATTTTTACTTGCTAAATAAACGAAGAAACACAATATTTTAATTAAATAAGCAAAAAAGTCAGATTTCTGTAGTTCTTTGCAGATCTAAAGCAAAAAGGTCTTGCAGATAAAAACAAAACAAACAAACAAACAGCAAACTATATCCTGAATTTTTTATCTCTTTCTGGATTTTTATTAGTCTTTTTAATGAGAAGGACAGTTTATGTCCCACTCTTGGTTTAATTTTCCATATTTCTTAAATGGCCTGGATGTTTTTGGTCCCCATTACTGATAAATGAAATTTAAAGTGTGAATACTTTTGGAAATTCTCTTATTGCCACGATGCAAAAAACCACAACAAACTTTTAGAAAATAGCAACTCTGGAAGGCAATGCAAATAAATAAATGCACTATAAAGAATACAAGACAAACAGATGAAACAAACCTTGTGCGTTTTGTTTAGCTCACAGATGGTGAGTTTGCTCAGCGATGAAACAGAGCTGGCTTGTTGCAGCATTGCAGTCTGCACACACACACACACACACACACACACACACACACACACACACACACACACACACACACACACACACACACACACACACACACACACAGTGTAGTGAAGTAATAACACGCCTGAGTGTTACATAAGCTGAGCACACGCAGCCTTTCCAAAATTCACCAGACACAGACACACACCTGCAGTTTATGGTAAAGTTTCATAACATTTTGTTTTAATTTTTTTTAATTGAAAGTACCTGATTTTGAAAAATTGTATTTGTATTTTTTTTTTTACTTATAAAAATTATTGTCAATTTCATCTTTAAAGTACCAAAATTCCAATTAACCTCATATTTTTTCCATTTGATGTCATTTTTAAATATTAAATTGCTAATAATGAAATCAGACACTACTAATTACCAAATACCCTTTAAGGCTACTTTTTACTTTATTTCGAGTAAAAATAAGTTACTTTAGTACCGTTTATAGTTTTATACGGACCTCTGGTGAGGATGGAGGAAGCCGAGCCGTTTGTGAATGAGCTCTGTAAATCCCACTGGTATTAACACTTTCTAAGAATGAATCATGAAGCTGCAAGCTTTAATACTCTCTCTCTCTCTCACACACACACACACACACACACACACACACACACACACACACACACACACACACACACACACACACACACACACACACACATACACACACACACACACAGAAACAATCCCAGTTTCACACACTAAACCCATTACAGACACTTAACTCCTGAACCGCTCCAGAGACCAACACACTCCAAGGGGACTCATCGCTCTAAACTCTCTGATTGAAGAGCGTATTTCAAAAAAGACCTCACTGCTCTTCTCCAACATAAAATACATATTCAAATGGAAAAAATGCATAGTGGAGTTGACAGCATAATAGCATTCAAGAGCCTTTTAACATCAGAGTTGGACCTAAATCAGTGGTTAAGTTGTAAGAACCAGAGGGCCATGTTTCTTTTTTTAATTCAAACTGGAAATACTTATTTCTAAAGTAAAACTGTTTTTATGTCCTCAATAGCAGAATAAACAGAATAAATAGTAAAGTATTCTACATTTAGTAGAAAATGATTGAAATATAAACAGAGTCTTACAATATTTTAGATAAAAATTATAAGAAGTTTTTGAAAAGTTTCGAATAATAAAAATTTTCTTGAACAAAAACTTGGAAATTTCTGAGTTTAAATAGTCAAAATGTTTTGACTTTTCAAACATTTTCAACTTTTCAAAATCAAAAATAAAAACACTGCCAGTGGAACTTAAAAAATAAAAAAAATATTACTAAGGAAAAATGTACTTAAAACAAACTCCTATTTCTCACTGAAAAATTAAGTTAGTTAAGTTAATTTTTTTCAAGTGTTTCACTATTGAGATAAGTAAAGTGGCTCATTATTATTTTATTATTGGTCCACTGAACAATTATTTATAGTTTCCAATAACAAAATGTTTTTTTAAAGTAAATCAAGGAAACCAGTGGCTGCATCGATCATCTCAGCTCAGCAGAGGGCGCTGTTTCATATCCTATAAATATCTGAGCTTTAAGTTTAGACAAGAAACATTTTAGAAAGGTGGAAAATATAAATTTTAAGGCAAATGCTGACTCTTTTGAAATGTTTAGAGTTACATTCATGTGGAATAAGCACCTTAACACCTGATCTGACTCAACAATTTGGCTTTAAAGCAACTCACTCACTTTTAAGCAAATATTTAAAACAACTTTGATATTTTTTGTGTGATATCCTGTTTCTCAGACTGAAATGAGCCAAAGTATTCAGATGATTGCATTTTGCTTAATTGTTAACTGGACTCTAAAACAAAACCATTTGCTGAAAAATCCCCAACATATTTAGAGCAGAAATGAGTCCAAAACTGAACAAAATGTAAAAACATTTTGCATTTAAGATGGAAACACCTTTGTCTGTAAGCATATTTAAAGTTAAATATACTTACAGGTGGCAGTTTTAGCTTCAGATTAGTTAAGAAGCAGCTTAAATACAGCAGATAGTCCCATTAAATATGTTATTTATTAAATGATAAATAACAGCCAATAAAACATGTTAATCAGGAGGATCTCGCAGGTTTGAACTGAAGTTTCACTGCGACCTGCTGGTGAAAGCAAAAGGGTGAAATCCCAGCAGGACTCCTGCAACAATACATGATAATTAGCCTTCTGTTGTGATCTGCTTTGTGTTTCCAGACTGTGACCTCTGACCTCTGTCCTCAGGCAGACAACAAGCCCTCTCTGCTGGAGGCCCAACAGGCCGTGAGTCGGCCTGCTGAACGGTTCAAACTGTCACAGCAGAGAGGAAGATGATAAAGAGGAGGAGGAGGAGGAGGAGGAGGAGGAGGAGGAGGAGGAGGAATATAATCAGGAAGAGTAAAAGCAAGAGAAGAAAGTAAACAAAATACCAAACAAAACACAGAATGAGTGGGTTGGAAACTTCTGCTAACTGCAGAACATTAAGCAACACTGAGGTTTCACCAAACGGATCCAGATCCTCTGGAGGGGATCCAGAGATCCTTTCTGGAATCAGGATTTGTTCACCTATTCAATTGTTTTTTGTTTTTTGAAGGTTTATTTTCTAACTTAGGCCTAATTTGTTTTATACAGCCAATTTTCTGGACAGATATAACTATTGTACTAGAGGGGATTGCTGTCTTTTCATCTTTGTCAACAGTATCTTTGAAGTAACTTTAGGGAACAACTTTGATCATAAAGCTTCAAAACTGAAAAGTTTCCTTCCCAAAGCTGACATAATGTGTTTAAAAAGCTGCTGAGGTCGGCATCTCAGGTTTCCAGCTTCAGATGGGAGGCAGATGTCAAAAATCTCATCTGAATTTATGTAAATTACATCTAAAGTTCACATGGACACTAATATTAAAGAGCCTTTTTATTTTCCCTCCACACCCTCCCACAGCGAGGCTTTCCCTCGTCCAAGTTTCCAGACGAGCTGAACGGCCGGTCTAGACTCAAACTCGTGTTTACAGTTTTATGTAAACAATCTCCAGGAAAAGTCAATTATAAAACCATTCTGCCTTCACGAGCCAGTTTCCCCCGTCATCCCCACCAAAGCTTGGCAAAGCTTGGGAAACTGAGCTGTAGTACCCAGAGATGGCAGCAGGAGGCGCCAAAGATGTAATTACACAAGACATAAGAAGCAGAGTAAGAAGTTTTGTATGTGTAAATAAACTTTAGACTAAATAGTCAGAGACATCTGAGTTTAAAAGAGTTCACTAGATCAATTACTGGAAGTTTGTCTTGTGTTTCAAAACTTAAGTTGAATCTAAAAAAAGTCACAAAACCCTTTTACCTTTTAACCCTTTTCTTGAATGGCTGCTATTTATTTTAGTCTAAAATAAGTTTAGGGCTACAGAAACATTGATCAAAAAGAGTCTATATATTTAGCAAAATGTTTGAAAACAGATTGTTCTAAGTGACATGATGTACTGGAACATGTCTTAGCATAAATACATCATGTAAGTTTTAATGTAGTACATGTAGCATAAGTAAAAATCTGCTTGAGACCAAGTTTGAAAGGATTAAATTTAATCTGCTCTCCATGTTAACTGATAAATCCCAAGAAATAACCTCAACATCCCCCTCTGCAGCTGCTCATCAGGATATCAAGATGTTTCCAGGTAAGACAGTGATCAGTGCTCCTTTGGGAAAATGAAGACCTTTTACTATTGAAAAGCAGTGACTCTACTTCAAACTTCAATGGGTAAAATGGATCTTTTGATGCAAAGGAGCAGCACCTCTACTTCCTCAACAGAGCCCCTTTGATGTTGAAAAGCGGTGACTCTACTTAGAGATTTAATAGGATAAGATGCACTCGTCCATGCAGAGAGGAGCAGCCGGGAGCCCATTCAATGTGAAGAAGCAAAGGCTTCAAACTTCCTTGAATAACAGAGCCCTTTTGATTTTGAGAATCAGTGACTTCTCAGTGCATCACTGGGACAATGGAGACCTTTCAATGTAGAGAAACAGAGGCTCTACTTTGAATAGATAAAGTAGACATTAGACCTTTTGATGGAGAGGACTGTCGGCTCTCTCCATCAAAACTTTCCTATGATAACGAAGCGCTTTCAGTACAGAGGAACAGTGACTGTACTCAGAGGTTCCCAGAGGTAATGGCCACTTCAATACACAGGAAAAGCAGTGAAGCGGCTTCTTGGTCACTGGAAAATGAAAGACTATGTCAGTCTATCCATCTCTCAGTCTTACAGAGGAAACCAAGATATCAACATTAAATAAAGACAGAGGAAGTGACCATTTTCACCTTTTTAATGAACCCTGATTATTGTTTAATTACAAATGCAGATGAACAGATACAGAATGGAAACAGAAGCATGATAAAATAAAATAAAAAGCCCTGCCTCTCCTCCGGAGTGAAAATAACAAGAACATGAGGAGAGACGGAGAGGATAAGAAAAAAGGTGTCAAATAATACAAATGTTAAAAATGTTAAACAGTACAACACTCGTTTTTTTCCTTACAGAATCCACCATAATGAAAAATATATATACAAACAACTAAAAAAACAAGAAAAAAAAAAGATTTCTTCCCCCTGCTGTATGAGTTTTATCCAACCCTCCTCCTGCTGCTGTCTGCGGTTAGAAAAAGAGTGCAAGAACTCATAAACTGGGAATTCATGGGGAAGAGAATGGGCCGCGGCACGAGGGTACGACATAATCATAAAGTAGTCATGTTAATAATATAAATCATTACAGGAGTAACAGTAATGCATGGAGGAAAGAGAAGAGGCTGTAAGGCAGCACAGGTCTAACAGTTCAGGTGGTTTAGTCCTGAAAACGTCTCCGAACGGTTTGGTGAATCAGGAATGAGGCAACGAACTATTTAAAAATGACAAATGTTGAGCCTTTTTCACGAAAAAGCTGGATGTTTGTAGACGGGGTAACCACAGAGCGCGCACACATACAGAATGAGGGATTATGGGAAGTCCCTTGTCGCTCTGAGGTTTCCTGTGTGTGTGTGTGTGTGTGTTTGGGTGTAGTTTCTGCAACTGCGGAGGCGTCTAATGTCAGATGTGATGTCATGTTTCCCTTTATTGTAACCGCGCTAACCAGGACGCTGTGTGTTGTAGCTGCTCGAGTCTCAAACCAAAGTCCTGACCGTCCAATCAGAGCGAGCCGCCGGATCTGGGTCGCCGCAGCTGCATCAGAATATATATTTATATACACATCTTTGCTATTAAAAATAGGAGGATTTAGCTAATTCGTATCAAATGACCATATTGAAATAGAATATCTGATTCTAATATATATTTCAATAAAATATATACGTTTAGTTTTACAAAAAGCCGAAGGCATGGTGGTTTTCTGAGAGATAATACATGTTCCTGGGGGAGAAAACTGTCAAAAAGGCACAATCTCTTTTAAATCTGATTGATAAAATGGGCACAATCTCTTTTTTATATGTTAAAAATATACTTTTTTTTTAAAATCTCAGCAAAGGTTTGCCTGAGTTAGCCTGGATGCTCCACATTCATTATGTTTCCCTCCCTGCCCCAACAGACACTAATCAGTTTATCGTCTCTGCAAATGCCCGAAAAATACTGTCCATTTAAATCCAGAGGAAAAAAATAAGTATTTTTATTTTATATATATGTTTATATATATATCTATATATATATATGAAAAAAATAGAAGAAGCTGATGATGGGTGAAGTTGAAGGCAACAACGCTGAAAATGCCCTCATTGGCGAAACTGGAGAGGAAGATGGCGTCTCTTCCAGACCAAACCAATCGATGCTTTTTTTCTTCTTCTTCTGCATTATAATCTGTAGTGACGGGGCGTCTTCCAGGCACTTCTAGAATCTCTGTACAGGCGGCTGATTCTTCAGTAACATCAGGATCTGTCGGCTCCACGTTGGGTTAAAGAAGAAAAACGAGAACCAGAGGCGACTCCCAACGTCCGGTCGCCTCCACCGAACATTTATCGACTGGATTTGGGCACGATTGTGATCAGAAGTGGACCGAGGCAACTCTGTAGGGGGGTCAAAGTCTGAGTTTTAGTGTTAAAGACGTGATGTGTCCCAGAGCAGGTCCGGCTGTTTTTGCCAAGCAAACACCATGATTTCAACATGATTCTGCACAAACAGCTCGTTTTGTTCCTTGTTTTTGCTCCAGTCGGGTCGCTGCGTCGCATGGAGGAAGAGGATTTGTTCATTTAGCTCAGTTAGAAACTTTTGACTAAAATTGTCAAGTTGAAAGTAAGTGAGGCCAACGTGAGATTGAATTTTAAAACATTTTAAATTAAAATTATTTCAAAAACTGCTAAATGTTCAGTTTTTATCTGGACAAATAAGTACACTGCAAAAAACAAACTTAAGAAATTTTGGTGTAGTAAATATATAGTTTAAATAAGACAAAACTAACTTACAAATAATTCTACAACAAGATCCAAGCGCTTGTCTGATATTAAATAATTCTTTAATATTGATAAAAAAAGTACAAATTACATGTATAACATGGGAAAAATATTTTTATAAGTGAAACAATCTGATAGTGGGACTTTTTCATCAATATAAAGGAATTATTGACTTTGAAAAAAATCTATTTTGTGATGAAATGTTACTTGCATGTTAGTTTAGTCTTATTTCAACTGAACTAAAACATTTGCACTGAGAATCTGAAAAACGTGGTCAGATTTTGTATTTTTGCAGTGAGCACAACATTTATTAAAATAAAAATGTCTGATGTAACAGAAGAGGGAGTTTTGACTAATTGTTGATCTGAAACACAAAATCTGTTTAAAAAAATTAACTGAAATCTTAAATATTGATGTTTTTTCTGTTATCTTTGGACTTTTTGCTTATTCTGAGCAACAAAAACAGAAAATAGATTGCTCATTCTTTAAAAATGTTTGCATTAAAGTCTTCAGACAAAAAGATCTTAATATTTGTTGTTTTGTTTTCTATAAAATTGAATTAAATGCATACTTTGTGTTGTGCCTTCCATATTTAGAAAACTTTAATTCATATCTTTTTTTTAAATGACTTGTTTAACCTCTAACACTGAGCTGGACTATTAAGTTTGTGCAATTTTTGTATTTTGGTTGAGGGCCACACAAATCACCTTGAGTGCCACAAATGGCCCTCAGGCCACATTTTGGACACCTGATTTAGGCAACTGAAGCCAGAATTTGTGAATTATTGCACAAATCTTCCTGCAAACGACCCAAATGAGTTCAGCTAAAAGCAAAGAACAAAACTGTTGGTTCTGGTTTTCTTAAAAACATATGAAACCTGCTACGTTTACCAAAGCCAGATTTCCGGCTCCGGCCGAACGTCTGTATCTGCAGAACCCGCCACGTTGGGTTTGTTTTTCAGCAGCTGGCGTTTTCCAGCGACAGCTGCGCCGTAGCTCTCTGCAGCTCGGAGCTCGCTCTGCGTTGGGTCGGTGCCGGCGGCAGCATCAGACCCAGGATCACTCCTCTTCCTCCGCCGCTCTCCTCCTCTCCCTCTCTCTTCCCGTCTTCCTGGTCCTCCCCCTCTCCTCTCACTTTCTTGTCCTCCGCCTCGTCCCGGTCTCCGTCCGCCTCCATCCGTTGGTCTTCGCTCCAGCGGCGTTTGAAGCGCAGTTTGAGCGGGATGCAGCGGGTTCCGCCGGGACTGACTGGCGCCGCCGCCGCCTGGCCCGGCTCGGTCTTCAGGCCCGTCAGCGGGAAGGTGGCGCCGCCGCCGGGAGGCGGAGTGGCGGGAGTTTTGAACACCTCTTCGTCATCGTCGGGGTCTTCCTCTGGATGAGGAGCGGACAAGCTGCTGCCGCTCCCGTTCTTCAGATGGTGATGATGATGGTGACGGCTGTGAGGAAGAGGGGGGAACATCTCTCCCTCCTCATCCTCGCTGTTGGGGTTCAGCTCGTCTTCCTCGCTGATGTCGGTCACCTCCACATCTTCCTCAGACAGGTCGGAGACCGGCTCCACCTGCAGGGGACCGACAGATCAGAGATGATCTCCGATTCTCTGAGGCCTAAAGACAGAATCTCAGTTTTTCTGTTTAGAAATAGAATCGGTCATTTACAGGATCGTTTCTCAGTCCTACTGATAACAATTTGATGCTGATGTGTTTAAAGATTAAGTTTTACCTGTCAGGTATGTTGAACAAAATACTCAATGTTCGCCTTCTCATAAAACTACCACTTTGTCATCCTATTATTATGACTTTATTCTGTTAATAACTATTCTTGGATTATTAGGACTTCGTTGATAATTCCTAATAAAATGTTATTCTGGCAATGACTTTATTATTGTATCATTATGACCTTATTGTCCTAATATTATGACTTTATTCTTGTATTATTTCAAATTGTTGTCATACAACTTTATTCTTGTAATTAAAGAAACTCATTTGTAGCTTGGCCCTAATATTGGGTTGCAACCTCAGATAGGCAATAAGTTTATTAATATTCTAGTGCTACTGTGAGATGCAACCAAAGCCGACTCACCTTGATCTTCGGCGGCACTCCTCCTGCAGCAGAGCCGGCGTTTGGACCGGCGCCGGTAAACGAGGAAGCGTGGTTGGAGGAGGAGGCGGCGGCCAGAGAGCTCCCCGCCTCCCTCTGCTTGCGGCCGAGAGGCGGCGGCTGCAGCTTGAACTTGAACGGCGAGGCGTGCGCGTCGTCGGCCGGCTGCTGGCCGAGCGGCAGCGGCATGGGCGGGGCCTGCAGGTGGTGGGGGGCGGGCTTCTCCGGGGTGGGGCGGTGCGGCTGGGGGACGATGATGTTGGGGTAGTGCAGGAAGGCCCGGGGGCTGAGGTGGTAGTTGTAAACGGACTGGGTGTGGGCCTGCAGGTAGTGCTTCATGTCCTCCGGGTTGAAGGAGAAGTGGGAGCCCATCATGGGGGACGACAGGGAGGGGGACGGGGTGTAGGCCAGGTGGGGGGTGGTGGTCATGGACAGGGCGGGGGACAGCAGTCCTCCGGGCCCGGGCAGGGGCGACACAGGGAACGGGGACAGAGGGTCGGGGTGGACCCTGGGCGCGGGCCTGGGTAACCCCGCGGGGGTCGGGTGACCCCCGTAGAACCTGAACAGGGACTCATGAGGCAGGCGGGGGGCGAGGAGCCCCCGGAAGGCCCGGTCGGGCCCGATGGCGCGCTCCTCGGCCGCCGCCGCCTCCTCTAGCTCGGAGTTGGTGGAGGTGCCGTCGCTGCAGTCGCTGACGGAGCCGCGGGCCATGCGGCGCGCCACGGTGCTGAACATGCCGGGGCTGCGCAGCTCCTCGCTGGAGGACAGAACCTCAGACGGGGTGGAGGGCGGGAAGCGGAAATGTGTCCCTCCAGTCGGGACGGGGGGCGCGCTCTGAGGGACTCCACGACCTGCGACCAACAAGAGAACGGTTCAGACTCGCTTCCTGTCGCGTTTATAAGAGATAAACTGTCCCATAACTTATCTCCATAAATCATTATATTGTTGTTTTGAAACCATTTTCAAGTAACTTTAATGGCATAATAATGCAAAAACAGATTCTCAGATTAATAAACTTCTAATTCAAATGAACATTTGACACTGGAACTGGAAAACATTTTAATGTATAAAATAAATAAAATAACAAAATGAATCAAATAAAATTAATTATGAAGTTCCTGTTTCTTTTTGAAGAAAAATCTTTTTTCTTCAAAAAAGGTTTTAGTTGCGATCAAAGCACCACTGATTGTAATTAATTTTACTTGCTCTATCTTTCTAAAAAAGAAAAAACATTAAAAATGATTAAAATGTTTTCAAAAAGTGGCTTTTACTTCAATCATTAGCCAGTTGTTGCAACTCCTATTAACACAGATTCTTTATATTTATTCTAGAAAGTGATGGTTGTTGGCAGGGAAGATCTCCTGTAGCAGTCTGTGTCTAAAGAAGCCTCTGACTGAAGACACTTTTGTTAAGACAGTCTCATGGAGAAGGTAGTCAGTGCTGTACATAGTTTTATTAGTTTTATAAAGAATCCGCCTTTGCGTCATCATCATCATCATCATCATCGTCGTCTCCAGAAATAAGGTTGGTTCCCGAGAACAGAACCAGAACCAGAACAGAACTAGCTTCTTTATGAGATTGTTAAGACTTTTTAGATGCCGTGGCAGAAGAGATGATGCTCTCAGCAACAAAGTTCTGGAAGATCTGCAGCATCTTGCTGAAACCTTGACGTTCACCTGGTATTTATGTTCCTCAACCACCTTCACTTTTTCTCCCTTGATGGAAATAAGGTTTGATTTAACCTTCTCTCTTCTGAAATCTACAGTCATCTCCTTTGATTTGTTTACATTCAAGATGAGATGAAGAGGATTCTTATATTTTCTCTTTAGCCATGAGCCTTAAAAGCTGAGAGGAACCAAGAGGTTAGGCCTGATGAGCTCCTCCTGCCTCCCCCTCCTGCGCCTGTGGCACTGCAATAAATTCTTGGCATCTGAGCACATGCTGGGATTAAATATTGGAAAAGTCGACCCGACTGCCATTACAAACATGGGCTGGGTTCCTATGTTTTTTTTCCAGCGCCTGTCGTTTAAAAAAAGAAAAACACATTTGTGCCATGTGTGTCAGGAATGACGGGTGGAGGAGAAGCTGCAAGCGCGTACGAAACCATCGTATCACAACATGTCAGTGTGTGGGCCACATCACACAGAGGCTATAATTAAAGTTTCGTGCTTCGCTTATGTCACCCGGTCTCCAACGCTCCATATGGGCCGTGTTTACGCTGGGTGGCCGGACCCAAAGCGGCTGCGCCCCAGGGAGGAGGGGAAAACGCAGACGTGGCGTGCTGGGGTCTGGAGACGCACGCGGTCGGTTACTGGGCAGATTAAGACGGATGTCAGAGAGCAGCGTTTACACCTCCATGCCTTCGATATGTTTCTGATTTGTTCCACTAATGAAACAACATTTTTAGGGGGGATTTTTTCTGGCAAACTGAGTCCATGGAGGAAAAAAACGATGCTCAACAGCTAACTCTAAAGGTTGTTGGAAACAAGAAATAAAACTTAAAAACACAAATCTGAGTCAATTTTGACTAAATGAAGCTTAACCTTCACTAAAAAATAAGAAAAACGTTTTATTTCGCTCATCATTGGCTCGAAAGGTCGAACAACTTGGTGAAGCTGAAACGAGAATATTTCAGCTACAACCTGATTAGAAAGCGAGTGGAAAAAAAGCTAACTAACTAGTTAACTAGTTATAAACTCTACCAGGTCTTTATAACTCTACCTCTTGGAGTTATAAAGGTCGGTGACCTCTGCTGTAAGATGACAGATTTATTTGTCCTATTAGCGGTAATTGAATAACATGCTTGCTTCTCTTTCCCATGTTTCAGAGTGGTTAAGAGAATTCGTACATCATGTTTATGTCCAGGTTGTCATCCCTTCTTGAATGACATCCTGGGAAAGTGCCGTAGTCTGAGCTCCAACCATTTAAATTGAAAAAGCATTTGTATTTTATATACAATAATAGAAAAATGTTTCATAAATGCGAAACTTTGTTGTGTAAAACATTGAGGTTCATGTTTGATGAGCGTGTCGGCGATGCTCAAAATCAGTTTTATTACAAATGGTAAAATATTTCTTCACAGTCATTTATTTCAGCGCTCATTCTCCACACATCCGTGGCTGCCTACTTCCAATTTAGTCGACAAGTAAATAAATAAAATTTGTAGCGGAGGCCACCCCCAGTCATATGCTACCCTGGGCAATGAGCCACATCAAGAACCACCAATGTCTAAAGGAAAATGTAAAAAACTCTGCTTGGCTTAAATATAAATTAAAAGAGACATTAATTATTCCTTACTACTGTGGGTTTTCACCTTCTACTCTCATCTACTCTTCTTAAAGTTTTTGTTTTAAACTACAGCAGTAAACTTACTTTAAAGACTTTTGTGTGACTTTGCCAGAGGTGCTAATAAATGTACAGTAAAGGGTGTAGTAAATGCAATGCAAAGGCAATTAAAAACAACAAAGCCAGCCTGCAGTTTTTGTTTTTAACTGGATTTTATATGATGCAAAAAGTTCTAAACTATTTCAAATATGCATTAAATAATAAAAGTTAAGCTATTTTCAAAAACAGGGTTAGAAAATACATCAAAAATAAGACATAATCTTATGTTTGGGTCATCTGTAACCATAAATAGTCTGAATCCTTAGCCTAACTATATCTCCTTTGCATTCATTTCCCCAATAAAAGTAGCAGATGTTGGATTATAAAATAATAAAAAGGAGAAAGATTAAAATGAAACTGAATTATCTATAAAAACTGAAGGCACAGGAAGTTGAACATTTGATGAGTAAAAGATCCAACAGCTGGATCTCATTTTTCATGTTTCAGTTTAACACAAACCAACAGAACCTTCCCTGGAAGCAGGCGTAAAACTTCTCCTCCTCGCTGCATAAATCACCTCGGCGCGCTTTAACACCGACCCGGCCAGCAGTTTTCACCTTGCTGCGAATGTGTACCTACCAGAGCCCATGTCGATGAAGGGGTAATTGACGAGAACCAGTTTGTTGAAGTTGAACTTGTAGGTGAACCTCTTCCCTTTGGTCTTGTGGAGGATCCGCTTGTTGTAGTAGTATCTGTGCAGAGAGAAGAGGACAGGAAGATGTTATCACCTGCTGGTTGTTCACTGTGGAGTCAGATTTACTGAAGTTAGCAGCAGTTTGAATTCATCACGTAGAAACATTAGGAGACTTTCAAGTTTATACAATCCACTGATCATAGTGGAAATTAAATGCAGCTGTACTCTCAATGCTACTTGACACACAATTTCCTGGTGTTTGTAAAGCAGCCAATCCAGGAGCTTTATTTATTTTCTTTGAAGCTGATTGGCTGAACCCCCAAGAGTGGGGAATTTGAATCAATTAGCTTCTACAATATCAAATCAATCAATGAATTTTTTATTTTATAGCACATTTCTGAAACAAACTGCTTCACATCATAAAACACAAAACAATGTTGGTCATTCATTTATAAAGTTTCAAAAGCAAACAGCCGGGCTTTTAGTCTAGTTTAGAGGAACTCAGAGTTTGGCTGCTTTGCATTTTTCTTGAAGTTTTTTCCAGATTTATGGTTCACAGAAGCTGATGCTGCTTCTCCATGTTTGGTTCCGGTAATTTAGAGCAGAACCAGAACCTGAACCAGAACCTGAGAGGCCTGAGAGGTTCGTACAACACCAGCAGATCTTTTAATGTCTGTTGAAGTTAAGAAGTTCAGCGATTTATAAACTAACAGTATTTTAAAGTCTATGCAATCGTGCTAAGATGGTTTCTAATATGTGTATTAATACATATTTAGTGCTTGGATAATTAAAATAAACAGTTCTAATTGTTTTTAAAAGTAGTCACAGATTTTGCTGTGTCAGCAGCTGTTGGTCTCTAACTCCGGTGAATACTTGAGGTCCACTCTAAAAGTTTAAATATTTTAAGTAATTTACTTTTCCTAACCTTTAGGAAAGGTTAGGAAAGGTCTGTGGATAATAAAAACAAAATAATTTTCATATAATGAGATTTCAGCTCCTCAGTTCTGCTGGTTTTGAACCCTTTTCAGACTGAGCCGTTTTAGGGCTCTGTCACTTTTATGCAAATGAGCTATTGCTGGCCACGCCCCCAAGATCAACACTTAAACTTGAAAATGGCTGCAAATGGATGTAAAACCGCACATCTTCGATGCTGAAGAAGCACAACCATCAAGGATGCAGCAGAGGTTTCTGAATGTTAACAAGCAGGAAAACCAGCTGACCTATCGGCTTGTCTTCAAACAGTGGAGTGGGCGGAGCTCCGCTTGGGCTGTACCCACAGATTGTGATTTAATCAGTGGGTTTTTGGAACGGCTTGTTTTCAAACACTAAAAACCATTAACTTATTGGTAGAAAACGGTTACATGGGGCTTTTTTAGCGCTTGAATGGTTTCCAGAAACAGTAAAAGACGAGATAAAAGTAAAAAACAAGCAAAAAGTGAATTTTCAACAATAGTTCCCAAAATAAACTAAATACATTTTTTTAATAGAGTCCCACCACAACTTAAAACCTAAAAATGGAAATAATATGTTTGCGTCTCAATTAGATGCTCACTAAAAATGACAATTAGTCATTTTTCCCAAAAGGTCATGTGATATTTGTGGCTCTTTGGATTGTAAAAGTTGTGGACCCCTCGAGGGCCGGTCTCCTGCAACTTTTAGATGCGTCTCTACTTCAACACACCTGAATCAAATAATGAGGTCATTAGCAGGACTCTGGAAAACTTGACTGCACTTGGGAGGTGATTCAGCTGTTGGATTCAAGTGTGTTGGACCAGACAGATATATAAGAGTTGCAGGACACCGGGCCTCCAGGACACTTTGCTTTTCTCATGTGCATGAAATCTCAGACTTATAAAACAGCACAAAAGGTTCTTCGATGCATAAATAGAAATAATAATTCCTTCCTTTCATTGTATTCAAAACTATGGCCTCCAGCAACAAAACTGCAGATCATTTCTTTTCTCTTTTATGTCCTTAGAATAAAAACCCACAGACCATCAAGGTGGGTCAGCTCTCAAAAGAAATAAGCAAGGAAAAGCCTGTTTGGTGCAGAAAAGAGCAAACAAAATGGGTATAAATACAATGATGCACAGTGATCAATACAGCTTAAAGAAACAAAATGCTGTTAAAGGAGGGGAGTTCTTAATGGAAAGAGTGATGTAAACTTCCATAAACAGGTCACTTCCTGACTGAACACAACGCTTCAATTCAAAGCTTCACTGCGGGCCTGAAGGAGGTGAGACATCCATTCAGATTTAGTCTTATCCAGGCGGCTCCATTAGTAGGAGTGCATTAGTCATCGTCAGCACACAGAGTGATGCAAAGAGTGAATAGGCAGCTGCTGACAGCTCCTCCAAAAGACAAGAAAATGGCTCAGTGTGACTCACCAACAGCCGCATTCATACTTCTTTACACAAAAACAAGTAAATCGGAGAACCTCATTCAGCAGGGACCGGCCACTTCGTTCTGGGAAATGTAATACGCACCATTTCCTGTCACATGAAGCACAGAGGAGCTCGGTGGGTGAATCTGCACATGGATTTATGGATGGATGTCTGGCTCACACTGCAAAAAAACAAAATCTTACCAACTATTTTCTAGTGCAAGTGTCTTATTAAACTTGAAATAAGACAAAACTAAATCACAATTAAAATTTCAGCAAGATGAAGGGGCTTGTTTTAGCCCCATAATGCTTCTTCACTGGCAGATAACAATAACTGAATATACATGCCATTGAAACTCGTGCTTTTTATTAGGGCTGGAACTATTAATCAAATTAATTGTGATTAATTGATTATTGAAATAATCGTCAATTGATTTAGTAATCAATTAAGTTAACAGACTCTAAAAATGGCTATTTACCGAAGAAACAGCATCCAAAACATTACATTTTTCATTTAATATGAAAAATATGTAAATCTTTTCAACAAAGATCTTCTCAAATGCCATTTTTTAAGTTTTGCATGGAAAGATATTATTATGCCAATTGAAATATTAATCCCAAAAGAAACAATTAAGTAGACATTACTTTTTAGCTGGATTTGCATTTTTGCTACAAACCACTGAAAAATGCAGAATATGACAATTTTAAAAAGATTAATTGTCAGAATAACCAACAGAACAATCGGTTCCAGAAATAATAGTTAATTGCAGCCCTATGTTTTAAGCAACATTCAAGAATTATTTACTGAAAACAAGCTTCTACATCTTGCTGAAACGTTACTTGTATGCTAGTTTTGTCTTATTTCAAGTGAACTAAGATATTTGCAATAGAGACGAAACAAAAATACTCGGTAAGATTGAGGTTTTTTTGCAGTGCAGGCTTGTGTAATTGCACCCTGTGCACCAATCAATTAATTTTTACACATCCGTCCAACCATAAAGATCAATGCTATTATTTACGGAAACATGCGTAACAAATATTCAGTCTGGGACAGGAAGAGAGATTATTAATCTTCCGGAAACTGAAGGTAAACATGAAAAAACGACACAACTTGAGGTGATCGGTCACATTAGGAGTGACGGTTACAGAAATCACACAATAATGGGGATATGAGTCATTCTGCTCAGGCTGAATCCAGCGTGGACATGATATTCGTCACAGGAGTTTTGCACAAAGGAGGGAGAAAGCAGGAGCTCGTCGAGCCCCTCAGTGACTGAAAGAGTGAAGGGCTTCTTCTGAAAGAAACGGCTGTGATGAACTCCCACACTCTCACATGGAGAGCGGCTGCACAAAGCAGCAAACGGACAAAACCGGCAGGAACTGTGAGCTGGGGAAGTAATCAGATCACGAAGAGCCGAGGTCATTTAATAACTCATGAACAAACAGGTGGTTACAGCAGGCAGACATTAGTTTTGATCAATAATAACAGACTAAATGAATCCTGATGATTGCAGGTTTCAGATGTGGACTTTAAAATCTTAGAGAAGATCTTGGAGTTAATGCCGTAAATTGATGCTTTAAAGTTTTTTTTTCTTTTTTTGCAAATTTCCAACAATTTGACAAAGATTAATTTTGCATCTATTTTTTGGTATTGAGTTTGAAATGTACTCCTCTGTGACTATATTGTTTTTTTTTCTTTCATCTAGAATGACCTAAAAACTAAGGCTGACATGATTAGTCGGAAATAACTGTCAGCTAATTTAGTTATCAATTAATCATCAACTTGGGAATGGAGACGAAAACTATACAATTTGATGAAAAACAACATATTTAAGAAATTATCTTTACAAAGTTCAAGTCATCAGAAAAATGGCTTGAATGTAGTGAAATGTTTAGTTTGAAATGTTCAAACCTTTAGGGCTGAAATGATGAGTCCGATTAATTCTGATGAATCAATTAGTGAAATAATCGTCAATTAATGGTATTGCCCAAAATGTGAATTTACATGGAGGAATCCTTTTCAAACAGTAAACTTCGGGATTTTAGCAAAGGTGCGAACCGGAGCAGAGCTGTGAAAGAAGCAAACGCCAGGAAGAAGCGAGGCAAGTTTAATCATCACACGCTTCTTCTTATCAAATATCTTTGTTTAAAACAGACGGGAGTCATATTTCATCCATAAAAAACAGTAACATAGCCAACGTGCATACTGTACATGCATGAATGAAAGCACACATGTGCACCACTGCTAGCTCACTTCAAAAGACGCAGAGAAGCATCAAAGATTAAAGGAAGTTTCTTCAAACGACGTCAGAATCAATTAACGGCCTGTGGTTTGTATAAAAGCTCCAGAAACCACAACAAAGAAACTCGCAGAGTTCGGTTCCAGCTTGTCGTTGATGTGAAAAGCTCAGATCAGAGAGAAAGTAAAAATTCATCTTCAAAACCGACAGTTTACGTGCTGATCAAACTTTAGACGTTCTGATTGAGTCTAGGACAGACTGACTTTCCAAATACAAGCACTGACACTAAATACCACCTTAAAGTCCTGAAATCAGTGCTCCAAAGAACCAATTCATTAGGAATTTATTGGAATTGGCCAACTTTTCCAGCGACCAGCAATCAGAAATGTTAGATCCCATCCAAAACGGAAAAGTTCCACTTCTTCCTGCACCTTAAAACAGCCTGCATCTTGTTTGAGTCAGACAGATTATTTAGCAATTTATAAGGCATTTGTGTTACTATATGCCAGACATGTTTGCTTATCCAAACTATTCATTCTGTTTCTATATCTGTGCTGTACGTAAAAACGCCCCGCCAGGTTCATGGAAGTACCTGAAACCTGAAACCTCTGCTCTCTTTTTATGCTTTGTGTGATTTTAGATCAGTCCAGATAAGTTAAATTTTTGATGCTAAATCAGTGCATCAGGAATTGCTTTAAATTTAGAATCACATTTATGATTAATTATGTTGTTTATAAATATTTAAATGGCATGAAGTACAATGTTCTTGCAAGAAGAAAGTTTATAAGCAGACAGGACAGATGGGCTGGAGGAGGACTGACACGGAGCAGGGTGTTAAGAGTGTGTGTGTGCGTGCGTGTGTGTGGGCACTTCTGCGTGACTGTGCGTGTGTGTGTGTAAATAAGGATGAGAACATACTGGCGGCTAAATAAAACCCAGCAGCATCCCACATGTGCTCCGCAGTGGGTGAAGGTGTGTGTTTCTAAATTGGTCGACACCCTGGAGCTTCGGCGCGGAGAGCAGAGGCTGCTTCAAAACACCCCGGCTCCTTTTAATTACACAACTCAAACAGCCACAACAACGACCCAAAACAAGTTATAGACAAGGCGGGAAAAGATGGAGAACCAACCTGAAAACCATTGCACTCTTTCCCAGAACGCCCGCAGTTTTCAGGTCAAAGTTTCATCCTTTTATTTATGAACATTTCTGGAGTTTTCTGTCCTTTTAGTCAATTTTTAGAGAAGAAACAATGATCAACGATGAATCAATGACAGATGTTTCTACAGAGACAAATGTAAAAGAGACCAGAGAGGAAGAGTGGGGATGGATAATGAAAGGAAAGAGAAAAATGAAGGGATGAATGGACACGGGGGTAGACTGATGATCGGATGGACCGAGAGATAAATGGACAAAGGGTGTGGTGGATGGATGGAGACAGACTCACAGATACAGAACTAATAGATCTCATTAACTGAATCTTCTTCACTTTCACATAAATATATGCATTTCTTTTTATTTTCTACAGTTTGAAGAGAAATACTGAAACAGATTTTGAAACATTTCAAAAACGTCCCAATTGTTCAGTGGCATTGTGCATTTACCTAGCCACCCAAGTAGAGCTGCAGGACATTTGCTCAGCAGGTTTCATTTTTCAATGGCTGCTAGAAAGGACAAGTGTTTAATTGTTGACTTACCATCTAGAAAACACTTGCTGAATTCTTGCTGATTATATAGGAGGCTCCACTCCTGCTTTTCAAAGATGTACGGTTGTATAATTGTGCATCTATTCATTTTCACGGAACATTGTAAATGTTGAATTGGGGGGTTGGACACATCAGAGAACACCTCTAATTTAAAAAAAAAATATATATAAAACCTTACTACCTAAACATGCCTGCAGAGTAAAATCTAGTCTGAACTTCTTAATGAACCTGAGTTCTGGTGAGTTAAAGAAGAAAAGGCAGAAAGCGTCACCTGAGAGCCCGACTCAGCTTGTCATAGTTCATCTGCGGTTTGCACTTCCGGGCCCCCCACAAACGGGCCACCTCGTCCGGGTCCTTGATGACGAACTCGCCGTAGTCGCCCTGCCAGGCGATCACGTCGTTGTATTCCTGCTTCCTCAGCAGCTCCAGGATGAAATGCCACAGCTGGATCTGCCTGGAGCCCGGGCTCGACTCCGGCTTGTAAGCCCACTCTGGGAAGGCGAACCCTGTGGGAAAAACACGGGGGGGTCATCTTAATGATGTCTCACTACAGAAAACACTTCATGTTCAGTTTTAGGGCTGGGCAATAAACCCAATTTGAAGTTTTTATTTTTGGAAAATGTGGATCTCCCCCCCCATCAATGTTGTTTGGTTTCCATGGTTCAGAGTGATGTCAGCGCACCCATGGCGGCCATCTTGTTAGACAAGCATGTTCTACAGATTCTGTTTGTTTGAACTTTGAATCCAGGTCAACTATGACGATAAAAAGGAGAATAAAGTGGTAATTTTATGAGAACATAAAAAAAGCACTTAAAATTAAAATGAGGAATGTTGAGCATATTGTGAAGTTCTTCACTAGTAAAAGTTTTACAAATAATTCTGAGAAGAAATACTTCCTGTTATCAAATCATTACCAGGACTTTGAAAAGATTATGTAAAGCAGACATGAGCTGGTCATGTCAAACTGTTTTTCTTGTAATTTTTTTCTTATGAAATTTTTCTAATATTGTGCCTCTATTCTTGTTAATTAAAAAGCTGGCTCTTATATTCCACTGCATAACAAACAGAAGGAACGACTGAAAAACCACTTTTCTGTCATCTGTAATTTCTTTCTTAGAAAACGAGCAAAATATAAAACCCAATCATTGTCGCCTCAAGCTGCAGCCGATGATCTCTCCGGTTGAATTCGTTCCCACAGACGGCCGATATATCTAACCATTGCCCCTATCAGCATCAAAGCTGGAAAATCAACACTGTTTTAAGAGATTATCAGGCCTTGAAACACGAGCAGACTAAATATGAGATACGGCCTGATAACTACTATCAGGACACACTCTGCAGGCCACACACTATTATGCAAAGGTTAAAAGTATGGGCTTCATGCTGCAAGCGCAGTAAAAGACTCAACACTGCTTGTGCAGAAGGCCAGACTGAAGGGCTGGAGAGCTGAGGCGTAATCTCACACACACACGCACGGACACGCACACACACGCACATTATTAGGACCAGATGTGCCTTGGCAATCAGGCTGAGAAAACTCAGGCTGGGAAACATATGGGCACAATATAACAAAGCTTAATTCTCTCTCTCTTTCTGTGTGTGTGTGTTTATGCAACTGCTGTAAAAAATCTCGCTCGTCTAAATACCAAGATTACAATTTGTTTCCCACACTTTAAAGACCCTTGTATGTGTGCAGCGGCGGCGCACATGGTCACGGACGCCGCCGTTCTGCGTCCTATTGATCGCAGCAGGGTGACGCAACGACACGCCTCAATGTATGCGGTCATTACCCGAACACGCCATATGATGCAACTGCATTATTTACTCCTTTTATCCTTTACTGCCTTCTGCCTTCGATAGGAGGAACCTTATTAAAAGCTCACAATAACAGTGAAGAACCACAAAGAAAACGTAGACAAAAAACAGACGTGAGCTCCTAAATCTGTACTTTATAGGATGTCTGGACTGTTTAACCCACGTTTTAGGAATATTTACTTTTCTCTAGCTCTTCTTAAAATAAAATTCACTTTTTTAGTCCGACATAAAGAAGAGAAGTTTTCAATCAAAAACTAAACTTTGAAAAGAGGAGTATGTATTTGTATGTTGCCGCCAAAATAAAATCCAGTGCAAACAATCGCCTTCAAAGCCAGCCAATTAGTAAATGGAGCCCAGCTGTGTCTAATTGAATCTGAGAATAAAGCCAGATGTTCTGGTTCTGGTCTCAGCGTCATGGAGACCAAGAAACTGGAGAACAGGAACCCAAGCAGAACAATGAGAAAACTGGGTTATTTGCTCATGATCTGATTCAAAATCAATTTTTGATTAAAAAAATTTTTCATGATGATTTCTGCTTCAATCTGTAAGTGATCAAAGGATCCTTGTGATCTACTGCAGTCTGCTTTGGAAGAATGACATCTTTCACATGCGTTGTATTTTAAATATTAATCCATGCTTCGATGGTATCGTTTCTAGACTTGTATATCATCATGATAAATAGTTTGATTCATCATAATTAATTCCAATTAATGTTTCTTTTAAAAAAGTCAATATTGATTGCTATTTTTGTCCACCGTCTTTTCATTGAAAGAATCAATAAATTTGAAAATATGATTAAATGCAGTTAGTGTGTTTATTTAACTGAAGAAGTGCATTACAAATGGGAATGTTTTGGGGTTTGTGTTTCTGTACCATGCAGTCACAGCATACAATTACATCAACTTCTATCCAAACATTAGCACAAAATAATGTGATAAAACTTTAAGTCAACACCGACCCCTTCCCTGCATCCTCCATTTTGGTTTTACAAAGCGTAATGGTGAGAGCGCCACCTTCCTGTAAACGCTGTTATTCTCTCCGTGAATGACAGCGTTGCAATTTACAATCACTCTGTGCAAATATTGCAAACAGTGATTCTCACGTCAACCTCGATCTTCCCGGGTATTTGGTAAAAATCCAAATTGAGTCCAAATGTTTGTGTTCAACACAGATGAAGCCAGATGAATGTCTCTCTCTCTTTTGTTTTCTCTTTATGGTGTACAATTAATCTAATTATGATTAATTCTTGACAAATGGTTTATAAAATTATGATTACTTCCCACTGATTGATTAATTTCCCAGTGTTAGATCTTTTTAAACAATTGGCCCTCTAGATACAAAAGAAACTCAGGTTTTTAAGCAAATTGCCGCTTATCAAACCTTAGATTAACTGATAATTTGCACCCCAAATTATGTTCGTACTTCCCAGTAATGTGAGATGTAGCAGATTTGTTTTATTTTATTTATTTTTTTATTAATTCTGAATTATAGTAAATGAGAATCTGATTGTTTTTTGGGTGAATCGCTTTTCTTGGCACACTCCTATTTTTAGTGTTAGGATGGCCAAGTGAAAATCCAAATCCAAAGATTAAGAGTCTTCAGCAAGACTTGACTAGCGACCCTCACTAGATGCTCTCCATCCAGTCTGAGGTTGTAAACATTCAGTCTCTAGATGCAGAAGGCAGGTAGAGACGCCCTAAAAGACGTACAGGAGAGGCGAACCAGAATGAACCGAGTCACCTCAGAAAGCAACTGGCTGATTTTATGTCGGGCTATCAGAGTAAAGTATCGCTTCACTTCAAGGTTGTCCTAATTTGTGCCGGCTTAGGACAACACAAATTGTCAAACACACAAAAACGTTTGCTTGCAAACAGATAAAATGCAAAAAAGTTGAAATTGCAGACCTAGTTTTTCATTATTTGTGTTGCCAATTTGTTTCTTTATATATATCTATAGATATCTATATATACAGATACATATAGATATATCTATATCTACACACACACACCAAATGGGTAATAAACGGCGCTGATCACCCTGTACTTGTTTGGTTGTTTATTTACAAATCTGCACGTGCTCATTGGTTAATTTAACACACACTTTCTCTTATCTCCACCCAGACTGACAGCATTTACACCTGATAAAACCCAAAGTGTGCCATGGAAAAAGACAGCTGGGTATAGCAACACCAAAGTCCAGCTCTGAACATGTGAGACGTAACAACGTTCAGCGAATGCAGTCGGCAGAGATCTGGCACCAATCCGGGTTTTAATGGCAGCTCCTGTCAAAGTAACACATTAAACAGAAGCATATCATTAAACTAGAATCCCACTCAGACAGGAACAAAATATTCAGACAGATTTTAGTGGCTGCTGGTGAACAGCGTTGCCACATTATAGCCAAAGGTCAAGTTCAAGGCTGCGGATCTACACTGTATCAATATTCATCAATATAGTTACACAATTTAGAGGCTAAAGACCAACTATTGAACTCTTTGGTTGCCTTTGAAGTTGAACAGAAATAAACTTTAAAAAACACCGTATTACTGAACTTAATAGCTTCAAAGTGATGTTTTCCTGCAACACGATGATCCTTTCTCGTCCTGTCTTTAAAAATTATTAAAATTATTTGAACCTGATTAAAAAAAAAAAAAAAAAACCTTGAGTTTCATGTGAAAAGCAAAACTAAGCAAAAGGATGCCTAGAAAGTAAGCAATAAATCAATTAATCACATAATAATTTAAAATTAGTTAAAGTGAATTTCCATTCTGATGATTAAGGTATTTTGAAAGGCAACTTTATGTGCGTTTGTCATAAATCTGTTTTATTCATGGCTTCAGTTGTGTGTGGTTTTTATTTCATTTTCATTAATTATTTGTTTAATTTTATTTGAGGTATTTAAAATATCTTCCAGGTCCAGTATACTGCTTTGTAAGACATGAATGTTTACTAGAGTCTGAGAGGGCCTGTTTATGTCATTGGTTATGATTATATTAATATAAAGACTTTTAAAAAGCTTATTTACTAAAAGAACAACTCAGTTACATTTAAGACAAAAATTAAGATTACAAACTCTTCTTTGTCTATAAATCTTTTAAGCTACTTTCAGCTAAAGTTGCATTTGTAGCTTCGCCCGGCTCAGCATCGTCAACAAAAATCCACTAAATCAACCCTTTTGTTAATCAAAAAAATGATTGGTAGATGGTATTTTTCCTTTGCTACAAATGATTAAATGTTTACTAAACTAATGTTTACTAACTTATTGCAGTTTTAGGCAATAAACTTTTCTTATTTTTTACAAAAACTAAATGAATTATTTGCATAAATGTGTAAGAAAAAAAAGCTTGAGTAGTTAAATAAAAACATCTGCAGAAGGTGCCAATTAATCTTCAGAATAATTACTATAACAATCATTTGTTGCAATCCAAGTTTGATTTATGAAAAGAAATTAAAAAAAGGAAAAATCAGAAGGAAAGTTTTGCATAAAAACAGGTGGTGATGCAAAGCCAGCAGCTGCACAACATCCTGCAAAACATTTCCAAAAATTCAGAGCATGGAGAAAAACTTCAGTCCTTGGAAAACACAGTGGCAAAAACTGGAAAAACTTTATACTACACATAAACCCTTAATACATCCTTTATACGCTATAACAATGTAACTTTCTTGCTTTCTTTTATGTTAATCTAAGGGCC